AGTGAAAACGATACATGTCAATCTATTATTTGAAGTAAAAAAAAATAGTGGATTATCAGATTTCAGTACATTTCTTATGTTTTTTCGAGAAAAAATTGGAATAATTTTAAATTCATCTCAATGTTCTTTAGTTTAATTTTTCCCTATATGAAGTTGAATTGAATACTACGAAAGTTTGAGAAAAAAAGACATTTTTGAGCTTATGATATTCATATATAAGGCAAGTGTTATATTGATTGAATGCGTGCCCTATTTATTATATGAACGTGATAAGACCACCTGTCAGAGAGCATTGAATTTATCGATCGGACCAGTGATAATGAATAACTGTATGAGCAGTCTTGAGTACTTATCAGTCCTGCTTTCGACCTATCCCAGCCATTTAAGTCCAGAACACCAATAACAAGAATAAGAATCATTATTCATAGTTGAAATCATGAGTCAATTGAAGCTAGACCACCATGGAAAACCTGGAAGCACTGGACGGCCGTTTCGTTTTATTGTGGGACTCCTCAGCATTGCGCATTCACGACCTCGCCTCACGAGTTCTAGTAAGAAGCAGTGACCAGTGGAGTTCAACTACGTCTGTGGTGAGATAACAACTCACTGAAGACAATTGGTGAACGGATGCTCAAACATAGTGGATTGGTTGAAGTTAGACATTAACAACGTTGGATGCCAGCTCAGTGGTCTATCGGTTAAGTGCTCTGGCGCGAAACTGGTAAGTCCTGGGTTCAAATCTCGCCAGGTATTGTCGTGGATGCGCACTTCTGAGGAGTCCCACAATAGGACGAAATGGTCGTCCAGTGCTTCCAGGTTTTCCATGGCGTTCTAACTTCAATTGACTCATGATTTCAAATATGAAAAATACTGAAATTTTCACAAAACCCCTTTTGAATCATTATTCTCAAACATATTGGATTTATGTCGAACAAACTGACCACGTCGTACCATAAAATGGGAAATAAGATTTGTACAAGAATCGGCGAAATGTGGCTGTGAATAAGGGGAACGGTAATCAATAGACTGAGTATAACTCAAGAATGGTAAATCCTATAATAATAGCTCATAAGTCAAATTAAAGCTCATAATAAGAGGGACACGAATGTGAATAGTTAAGTTACATGGTAATTATACAACAGGAAATATACGTATCACATGGTTCCATAAATAGTTCTCAAAGTTACCATTCATAAATCTCCACTGGATATAACAGCAAGATTTGTTTATATATTTCCATAGAATAGAAAATTTTGAAAATTAAATATGATGTAGATTATTTTAGTAAAATATTTAATAAATGTTTCATTTTCATAAAATCTTTCGTAATTATTGAGAGTTCACTAAAGGAATATATTTGTGGTATGTGCTACTGAAGTCGACAGACATAAGTAGTATGTGTCATCAACTAAAAGTAAAATGCCTGGAGACAGAAGGTTGAGAAGATCAAAGAAAAGAGAACGAGAAGAAAGAATGATTTGTGTGGAAACGAAGGTATATTGAAGTCTGAGACGATTGGCCGATATTTACAAAAGGAATATTCAAGTTTGAGATAATTGGTTGAGATTTTGGAGATTAAGTATTTACTGTGTGGTTCTCAGATTTTACGAAGATGTTCTATAATTTTGTAGTAGAATATATTCCGTTGTTCCCACTTTTGTTCTCGTTCATTATATATTCGTTTTCTTGAACTATTTCTTTGTATTTAAGTGTTAATATTTTCTGTGTACTACGATAAAATATCTAATGATATTGTCTTTGAGTCAATTTGATTTATTAAATTTCTTCGACTAGCAATTTTATCTGAATAGATTTTACATGTGAATAATACTATTTAGGGAAATATAAAAATACAAAGACTACTATCATATTTTATCGAATAACAGTACTTGAAAATAAGTACTTTATTTCGCTTTAAACGCCATCGCGTTAACCACTTAGCTACTGAGTCCTGATAACCACTTGCCTGTGCAATGGGTTCAAGTTTAAATTCACTTGATATCGTTTACTTGAATCTTCTGATTGATGTTTAGGGCTGTAATTGATAAGTCTCTTATCAGTTAACAACTCAATGAGTCACATTTTATTTCGTTAAAATGATTTGATTACCACTGTTCAAATATAGAAAATATATTTAGATCTAAATTTTATTAACTCCATTTACTTGTATTAGAAGGATTGAAAACATTTACAAATAGGTTTGATTAAGTTTATTTCTACATGTTATTAAGAATATGGACTTAAGAATATCTACCATTAATTCATTTTAAATTATGATTATTAATAAGACATTTTCGGATAGGTAGATTTCCTTTTATTAGATTGAATTTCGATAGGATAAATAATACACTATTTAGAGATGATGAATAACTATTCAATTAGGTTTTGGTAAGTTATTTCATATGTTGAAACCTAATAACAAACACTGATAAATAATTTATTTGAGTAGTTAGTATTTGACATAGCTAAAATTTTTGTTTATTTGAACAAGATCTTAAACAAAACATTATTTAAATTCACTTAGTATTGTTTGTTTGAATCTTCTCAATGATGTTTAGGACTGCAACTAGTCAGTCTCTTATTGGCATATGTCCATCCTGTGCGGACTGTCTCAGTATTGTCTGAAGTCACAAACATCAGAAGAAAGGATGGTTGATGGCTATCAGTGGAATCCAATTTGACGCGCGTTTCGTCCTATTAATATTTATCTCACCTTGTATAATTAGTTGTTATTTGATATAACACAAAAATTAAATCTACTGAACAAAATTGCCATCTACCTCTGTAATCTACTTTTTGTTCTTACAGCTAGAATTTAATATAATTTGGCTTAAAATTTGTCAGTAATCTGGTATAGTCTTTGGTCACAAACCAAAGATTAAAGAATGCCGACATATAAATTCTAATGCTTTCTTCATTCATGTAGCATTTTGACAATTCACTTCAGGTAAAAATCAATACGTAAATCAGTACATCTTGTTTGGATTACGCAAACATCGTTTGATAAATTCATTTTTGTTATGTGGTTAATTCTCAAATGATCTCTTAGTAATGAATGCATCGACATCATCTGAAGATATAAGAGAACTGAATGTTATGTATGAGCTTATGTGAGTTGAAATAAACCGATAGACTAATTAAAACTGCGATAACTATTTAATCCTGGTACATGCAGTATTATTTAATTGAAGACACGTTTTGTTTTCTACAGAAAGAGCATCATTGTTGAACATATTTCTTTCAAATAAACCATCAAACTGTATCTTCCACAGGAGCAAAATCGTTTAATGAGTCTCTTTTGTGATAAATAATTGGGATGCTAAATACTGGATTCATTTACTTTTTTAATTCTTTGTTCCAAGACTAATATGTATTATTTAGTCACAGTTTTGCAATCTGTGTGAAGTTTCGTTTCTTACTATTTTACATAATATTCTTTTTACATCCTGAATATTTATTTCCTTTGTTTGTCGGAACATCCGTTATCAAACAAGTGGCCAATAACAATTTTTTCTAGAAATATATCTTGACAGATATTTATTAGCATTTTTGAACCCAAAATGCTAATATAATAGTGGTTAAGGGAAAAAAACGTTATACAACAAGAACAAAAAGAGTAATTGTGCCTAGTGAAACGAGTGTTTTCTTAAGTTTTTTGTCCACTTGGCTATATATATTATCTAGAATATGTCATTATTGACTATTAAGAAGAGATTGATAATATGGATAGGAGAACTTTATGAAACCTTGTTCGACATTACGGTATACCTGAGAGAAGAAGAATATGTGGAGCTCAAAATAACTGTCAACCAATATCAAAGTCACAATCTTCAATACGAACATCAAGACAGTTCTACTGTACAGTGCTGAAACTTCTAGAACTGCCACAACCATTACAAAAAGGTATAAGTATTTCTAAACAATTGTCTGCACAAGATATTCAATATCTGTTGACCGGATACTATCAGCGACAGCTTACTGTGGGAGAGCAAATCAGCTTCCAGATAAGGCGGAAATTAGAAAAAGACGTTGGAGTCAAATAGGACATACACGGCGGAAACTACCAAACTGCATCAGGAGACAAGCCTAAAGTCGGTATCCCTAATGGAAAAAAAAAAGGGGAAGACTAAGGAACGCATGTTGGGAATAATAAGTAGACATCAAAATAATGAACAGCAACGGGAAGCGGGTGTAAAGGATCTACCAGGACAGAGTTGGATGGGGAATGGTGGTGGTCAGTCTATGCTTCTCCACGAGGGATAACAGATGTTAGCAAATAAATAGATAGAATGTTTCAACAGATGACTTAGTATTCTATTGCTACCCATTTTACAATTATCGTTACTTTCTGATGGCGTATTATGGAAGTAAACATTCTCAGCTGCTTGGTTATTTTTACTAAAAGTTAGTTGATACAAATTGAACTGAGTAGCTGAATTCATTATGTATTGATTGTTTGAATCTGGACTCAGCAGCTAAATGTATAACGCGATGGTGTTTGAAGCGAAGTGTACTGCGTTCGAGTCCCTGAATGAACATCAATTCCGGTGCAGGCACACCTAACTGACGAGTCCCAAATATGACGAAACGCTTGTTCTGGACTCCATTTCTAGTCGCTATCTATACCTCTCTACACTAAGTGTCTAAACGATATAAAAATCTACAAATGCTATTCAGACGCTAGTTTTTCAAAACACATATGCTCAATTTCATATATTCTTGTACTTATATGTTTGCTGCACTTTCATCTTGAAGGTAATCCTAATCACAGTTGTTTTTGAACAATACTGAATGATGAAACACGTTCGACGACAACTTGTTTAAATGACACTTTTGCAATATGTTTTTGTGAAATAAATCATGTTACTAATTGTTCAATTCGAATGTAGGCATCTGAAAGTTATTTATTGATCAACCAGAATCCTAATACACAGTTTGACTTACCTAATTAAAGAAATAAGTTAATTTTTCAACCTTTGACTTTTAATTTTTCGTTCCAGGTTACAAAAGAAATATTCCAGATTGGCCAAGATATTCGTTACAAGGTGATTCAGGTCAAGGTGTACATGATTTATTAATTCAAAATGTTAGTCGCGAAGACGCTGGAGTATATGAATGTCAGGTTTCACCTGTTGCTGGACAAAATCCACTTAGACGTCAAACTCTATTAGTTATATTAGGTATTTAAATTTGTGATTATCAAATATTTGGTTCTTTTACTGTTTTGATCCATCTTTTAGAACATTTGGATAACTTGAAAACTTTGTAATCGTTGAAAATTCGATTATTTTGAATATTTTTAGTGACGAAAACAGGATGAGAATTAAAAGCCTTAAGAATGAATATTAGATTAACTGATTTTCGCTGTTTAAAAGTAATTTGTCCATTTTAAAATTTGAGTAACAATATGAGAAAATAATAAAAGTTATCATGCGGAGAATATAAGAAGTCTTCGGAATACTAATGGGAATTATATAGCTTACGGATTAACAGTGAAGGTCAGAGTCTGAATAAATTCCATTTGTAAGCAAAAGTAAGCGTTAAACTTCATTAAGCTTAGCACTTCTACAAATCTTGGGAACCCACCTCTACTGATAATTTCTGCATAAAGGTCTAACTGACATTACTACAACTTTTTAAAATTATCGTCTTGCTTGAGAGGATCCTGTTTGTCTATTTCACTGACTCATCTTGATTTGTGACAACTATGGAACCGTATAAGCCTGTTTCCCAACAATTTAGGCTTTATGACTCCCATTTACTGAACGATGTCAACAAAAACATGTAAACTGGTAAATACAATCGGATATGATTGTTTGATTTGTGCAATATTCATACGAACGTAATTTTAAGAGCTTGTCACTATCGACAGCGATCGAATTAGAAGTAAACTGTTATCAATAACGAACCGTTATAACGGTGGACAGAATATTAATTGCATAACATACAGCCAACGTTCATCCGTCGCCAAACAAATTGGTAGTTATCTGATATCTATATTCAAGCTTAATACAAAAGCAATAATTTCTCTCCTCAGTATTTAGTAAAATTTACTAAAATACTGTACAGTCTAATCAGCATGTATTGTTTTCTTAGGATGACAATTTACAACCTAGTATTAAACTCACATGATTCAAGAATGTTTATGCTTGACTAAATCTTCTGAAACATTTAGATTTTATGATATTTTAGGTTTATACTATTTTGATTAGAAACTACAAAATGTGAAACTTTTTATACGACAGTTTTGATGGTTACGGCAACTACAATCGTAATTGAGGCTGCAGAAAAAGAGAGATGGCTGTTTAAAGCAGACTTTTTAAAAGTCATTTACTGCTTGACGTATTCAAAATATCGGTTTTATTTATTGTAGAAAAGTCAACTTACTGTTGATAATCTTTGCATCAAAATGTGCTTAAGCTAAAGTTAAAGTTCCATTATTGGTTGCTTGAGCTCTTTTACACAGATATACAAATTTAAATCTAATACTGAAAATAGCTGAAATTTCGTTGTTCAAACATATTTCCTTCAGGTATTTCTGGTCATTCTGAACGAAGACTAATGATTAGTGTTAAGTTGTTGCATATCATAGATGACTATTGAAATTCTATATAGATCTACACATCATTAAGACATATTTGTCAACAGCCAAGAACAGAATTAGTCGGAGAGCTATTGGGATTAACGTAATAGCAACATTTATTTGACTAACAAATGACATGCTCAGTAGGTTCAGTATTAAAATTTAGAGCACGAAATTTAATCTAAATTCAATGGTGTTTGCCTAGTGTATTATACATATCATTTTAAATAAGAATGAATTATATTCAATTAAGTAGCTGAGTTTATTTATTCTTTGTAAAGTGAAGCCAAAAATACCCACTATTGTAACTTTACCGGGTGTACCACAACCATCAACCAATGGACAATTGATTGTAGCTTTTGATTCCAATAAAACTAATACCATGAATAACAACCCATTGAAACTAATCTGTCAAGCGAAAGGCGGTTATCCTACACCAAAGTTTGAATGGTTTCATAATGGAAATCTTATTTCAGCATCAAAAGATTCAGATGAATTACAGGATGTCAATGAAGAAATATATTCACAAAAAATAACTAAAGATCAGTTTGAATTGGAAATTGATAAAACGAAACTTTCTACTCGAGATCGTATAGTGTGCTTAGTCAGCAACAAAGCAACAATGCGTTCAAATCACCTATATGAACAAAAGCTTAGAGCTGAAATTATTATTGTTATCCACTGTGAGTTATCTGAATTTTTAATCTTTATTGCAAAGTACTTCATAACATGTTAATTATACTGTTGAATTTAACTGTGGCATAAGTGTTTAGTTTTGCATTGTGTAATGACTAATTAGGTTTAGAAATAAGTCGCTCAACATCATAATGGCTAAATAAGTTAAAGAATAATAAACATCTCTTTATTTGTGCTTTGGAGTTCTCACAAAAAATGCAAAGTAGGACCTTCTGCTCTCGAGGTGAGCACAACTGTATTTCATCAACACGTGACAGTACACTTCTTCAATATTTTCTGTAACCATGAGCATTCCAACCAGAAATAAATAAGACAATAAATGTACATTGAATTTCTACGTAGTCTTAATATTTATATACTGAATATCTGAAGCCAGTGTGAATGTCAAGTATTTATAAACAATTGTCTACGCAAAATACTCAACATCCACTGGCCGGATACAATCAGCAACAGCGTTTTATGGGAGAGGACAAATCAACTTCCAGCTGAAGAAGAAATTAGGAAAAGACGTTGGAAGTGGATAGGACATACATTGAGGAAATCACCAATGTGCATCACGACTTAATCCCTAACTTGGAATACGGAAGAAGAGCGGAAGAGAGGAAGGTCAAAGAACACACTACGCCGGGAAATAGAAGCAGATATGAAAAGGCTAAATAGTAACTGGAAAGAACTGGAAAAGAAGGCTCAGGACAGAGTTGGATGGAGAATGCTGGTGAACGTTAATCACAAATGACCATTTATAATTATCTTCATACAATATTCCCACTGGACGTTTCAGAAATCATACACACGGGGGGTAAAACTTGTTTTCTAATGTTCATAAGAGTTTTTTCAACGTTGCATCTCAAATACAATCAAACATGCTACTCTGAGTAGTTGGTAACCCAACACAGAAATGTCAAGTGTTTATGTTAACGTGAAAACTCTATCTGGAAGTCCATAGTAAGATTCCTCTGAGTAAATATTACTAGTTATTATCCATAAAACAACTGAACAATTTTACACAAAACTTGATTGTTAGCACTAATAAGAATTTTCCATATATATTCAAGTACCATTCATAAGCATCTCCCAGTTTATCATTAAACGTAACAAAGTTTTTCATGAATTTGCTGACCAGTATTGTGCAACCACTATTCTAATAATAAGATAAAACCATCTAGGCATTTGAATCTTCAGTGATTGTTCTTGTACAAAATAAATTGACAAGTTTGATTAATTGTGTAATATGTCACAATTGATAGTTGACAGATGACATAAAAGTAAAGATTATATTGTCATCTGTCATACAACTGATAAACTTTGCAACTTCAATATACGATCATCAACTGTTTTGTTTATCAAACTAAAATATAAAACTGTCATTCATCTTTTCAGTTTACAAATTACAAAACCGAAAGTAATCATTTATAATAAAAATAATATATTTTGAAAATAGTAATTACAGAATACACACAAGTTTACAGGCATGATCAATTTGATATAAATAGAAACATTAGATGTAGAAAACAAACATGTGATATAAGATTGTTTTAAGTTTGCTACTACAGTAATTATTAAGTGGTTTAATTACGACATGTATCACGGCAATCCAATGCATCAGTAGGGAGCTTTTAATTTATTCTTAAATGGATAGCCTGATGATTTATGAACGGTGTTCTTCAGGGTTATTTCCACTGCCAGGACGAATTATTGATAATTATTTACAACCAGAGAAAGTAAAATAAAAACGGAACAACAAAGCAATGATTGCCAAAATATGGTGGTCAGGTTTACCACTGTTCATATTAGATATTATTCAAATAAGTTAAGGTTGCTAGGGACATTGTTAATGTAAAGTGACAGCAAGTAAGTGGTCAAACATTTAAAGTTTTTATAATCTTACTTAAAGAGTAAGATACACTTACAGGTGCTAGAACATTTAATGCATTTTCGGAGCAACAGTAAAATGAAATAAATATGTCATTCAACGAAAGATTATCTCAAAGATTTTATGTATAAAGAAGAAGAAAAAATTTGAGTACAAACCTAATGGATACAAAAAGAGACAGTTAATCGACACAAAAAAAACAAAAAATAATAGTTAAGGATACTTACTTCAATTGAAATTTTTCGAATATTTATAAAGTTAATGAAGTGAATTACAAATTAAATTGTGTGAAACGAAAATTCTGAAGGACCATTTACTACTGATAAACACAAGAATAATTGTATCTAAGGTAATCTATTTTAAATATCAGACATTCCTAAATACATTTTGAATAAAATACTAACTATAAGATGATTAAATTCTTTATTTAAAATTACCATGTTTTATCAGTAATTTTATATTCACTTCCTAAAAAACTTATTTTTTGTATTTAAAAAAATTTTTTTTCTAATTTTTTTTAATTATCGGTTTCTTTTTCATTGTACTTAATGTGAATTTGGTTATAACCATTAAAACATTTTCATATATATTTCACTTTTTTTTAACAACTATTCATTTAAACAAACATATTTTTTTGATCCTTTTTATACAGCAAGGCTGAACATTTTAAATTGTTTTGAATATTAAAACAACACTGACTTTTTTGTCTTTTCCAAGATAACAACAAAAACTGACCAATTACAAAAAACACCACTTTACAATTAGTAGAAGAGGGTGTAGTATTTCTTAGTTAAATATGTTTCTGTAAGGGTTAAGAAAAAAAACGTGATTGTATCATATGTTACGTGAATTATGATTCTCCGCTTGACTAATTAATAGTTTCTTTAGTGATTTTGCTTAATGTCTTGTTTCTTTTATTGTAATCTTAACATTGTTACCATGACAATCTTCATAACTTGTTTTTGAATAAATCAACTAATGATTGACATTTATGTAAAAACAAAAATGGTGCTGAATAATAAAGCAACCATCAATCTAATTGAAAAATATATTCCCATTTTTTGAGAAAAAAATTGTATTGTGTATTTATAGCGCTACTGTTACTCTGAAAATTTGCCAGTACATAAACTTAAAATTGTGAAATAGATTGTGCAAAATATAACTGGAAAATTCAGATTTATTCATAATAAACTATTGAGTCCCAAATAGGACGAAACGCGCGTCATGGGTTCCCCTGCTATCCACTATCCATCTCTGCTTACAATGCTTATGAATTAAGGCTATATCGAGGCAATACACACAGTATGCACATATGCCAATCAGAGACTGACCAGTTGTAGTCCTAAACATCAATGGGAAGATTCAAACAAACAATACTAAGTGAATTTAAATTTGATATATTGTTGCAATCGTCTTCGAATATACTTACTTACTTACTTACTTACTTACTTACTTACTTACTTACGCCTGTTACCCCTTATGGAGGAGCATAGGCCGCTCACCAGCATTCTCCATCCAACTCTGTCCTGAGCCTTCTTTTCCAGTTCTTTCCAGTTACTATTTAGCCTTTTCATATCTGCTTCTATTTCCCGGCGTAGTGTGTTCTTTGACCTTCCTCTCTTCCGCTCTTCTTCCGTATTCCAAGTTAGGGATTAAGTCGTGATGCACATTGGTGATTTCCTCAATGTATGTCCTATCCACTTCCAACGTCTTTTCCTAATTTCGAATATAGCTACATATTTATTCATCAGTTTATTAGAATCGGCTAAACACTTTATACTTAATAATTATTATTATTATTAGATCACTCAAAGTTGCCTTGGCTTGAAATATAAAATATTTTGTCATACATTTTTCACCATTAAAGATTTGGACAAAAAATATAAAACACAATTTTATAGTAGTGATTTTGGTGTAGCTATTCTCGGTTGCTTAAGTTTTTCGGATAGTACAATGCTAACACCATTTTACACCTATCTATCAATGGAGCACTGTCAATACTTTTTACATGAATGTGTTTTAGTACAGCCATATTTTTATCATCATAGGTGAAATGAGTAGGACAATGTACACAATTATCTAATGTCTCTACTTAAGTATTTCAATATTCGTCATCGTGAAATGTTGAAAAATTTCCATAAATTTTATCGAGTAAATTATGTAGGTAATAAATAATTAACCATTTGTAACGAATCCACTTTTCGTAAAACGACTTCTTTAAAAAGGCCACTACTATTCACATCGTAACGGCAAAGTTATTTTTTGAAAGTCCCTATTTACAAGTGTACCATGTTCAGGATCTATGGCTCTCAAATAATCGTACAAAATTAGAGAAACATAAAGAACTCAGTAAGGAGTAATTAAAAAAAAATTAATTAAATTTACATCATTACTAAAGATGAACTTGACAAATCCAGAGAAGTTAAGCTTATGCTAGACTAATATTCCATTATTACTTAAACTCATTTATTGCATCACTTACTTATATCTAATAATGAAAAATAAAAACTCTTGATAAGTATAATTGAAATAATTTTCCTTATAACCTGATGCAGTTTAACCTAATAGTTTTACTTATTCCCCAATATCATTTTATATTAGCTTTACCCGGTGATCCAGAAATAATTGACTGGGATAAATTCACAAATGAATCTACAAGTTTATTTGTTGGTTCAACGTTTGAAGTTACATGTAGAGTGACTCCACCTGGAAATCCTCCTGGTCAAGTTGTATGGCGCTTTGAAAATCCTTATTCTAGTATGAACCTAGATCAATTGACCGCTTTTGGAACTGATTTTAAAATCCCATCAATAAAGAATGTTATTTCTATTTCAAATGAAAATGTAATCAACCAGATTACAGATGAAAAAATCTTGAGCCGACTGAAAATTACAAATCTTAATTCAACAATGCATGGTTTAGACTTGGTGTGTGCTGTTCGACATCAAGTTGGCCCAGAGAAGACAACAAAGAAACGAATCTTAATTCAACGTAAGCTAACAACTTTTATATATTCAATGTCACATTCGTTAATAGTTTGTTTTAAGAAAATGATTTCATGGACTTGTGTACTACTTTGATGTCATTTTAAAATCAATGCTTACTCAATCATTTCATGGATAATTTTGTCTAATCATGTTTTGTATGCTGTTTAACTTTTGTGTTAAAACTTCATTTAAGTAAATACGAAAGTATCATTTCAGTAACTGCTTATCAGGCTAGTTAACCACGAAGTGAACCCTTTTTATTTTGAATATATAAACTAAACAGTTAAGCCAACTAGAGCTTACAATAACTTCGTTTTCAAGCTCTGCAAAGGTGAATAAATGAACAATTTATAACAGTAGCCGGTATCTTAAATCGTGTGAAACTCAATTTTGACGTTCACTTGTGTCAATTGAGAATGGTAAGCACGTTCTAAATAACCAAACAATCATTCAGTGGCTAATTTAAAGGGTCATATATAAAGCAGCGAAAAAATATACCTCTTGGCGTTTAGTTATATATAACAAAGTATCATTTCATACATCTAATGAAAATTAAAACAGTTACTAGTCTGCATATTTATGCCAAAGCACTTACATCTCCAAAACAAAAAGAAGGGTTCATAATTTTATCGAGAAACAAATTCCTCGAAAAATGATATCCAAATGTCAAAGTATTTTTAACATTTCTATACTTCACTAAATAGGAATAATATATTTGTAAAATCTCGGCGAATGGATTTGAAGTAAATCCAAGGAATTAATTTCTTGAAAAAGCTTGAACCAGATTGCCAAATTCATTCGCTGAGATTTTACGAATATATTATTCCTATTTAATGTCTTACATCAACTCGTCGCTCGAATACTGTTAGACTATTCACTCTAAATTAGACGAAAGTTCTTATATATTTCTATACTCCGTCATCTGCTTGATAGGTAAAGATGATATAGATATCTTGAAATCGTTTAGATTATCAGTAATCAAAGAATTTCTAATCTACTACGTTACTTCAATACAGTTACAATTAGATTTTGAACATCAACTCTGAGATACAGATACATTCAGGTAAAGGGTGCCAAATAGGACGAAACGAGCGTCCTGGATTGCACTGCTAACCACTATTCATCTTTGCTTACATTATGAAATATATTTTGTGTAAATCTAGAGAATATTTTATTTCGTTTGTCATTTTTTCAGTGTTTTTTCTCAGGTTTTCTTCTTAGTTCAAGAAATGTAGTTTACTCTGTGGATGTTGAACATATTAAAATTGCATATTTTTTATTTTATACTTGACTTTATGTAAATGTTTAAATCCTGTTTATAGTATATTCTTATACCGTTAAATTTTTATGGAAAAAGGAAGTACAGTTAAAAATCTGTGAAATTTTTATAGAAGATAACCATAATTATTATTTATAATTTAGTTGCTTCTGCATAAATTAATGATTATATAGGTACGCACAAAAATACATTTGAAATAATCTCACTAATTATTCATAGGAGAACAAACGAATTGAATTCATTTCCAAGGCATCTGGGTACATAACAAAAGTTTTAAATGATTTAAATCAGTAAATTGTATTAGTAAGCATAGTTGAGGGAATATTTGTGACAGAATAAAAAAATCTAAGAAATCTTGTAGACAGAAGATTACAAGCTATAACTTCAGTATATCAACGGGACCTTCAAGTTAATATTATATATATATATATATGTATATATATATCAAATGAGTTGCAATATGTATACTTCTGACCAAAAAGAGGAAGTTAGATACGTGTTTTCAACGTAGTGTAGTTTTGTTAACTTCAGCGCATGTAGTTTTTACTCTCAAATCACTTTACTTCTCATTTGTTTTGTCAAGCAAGAAGAGAATGTAAAAAGTAATAATTAAAACATTTCACTGATCATTTGCACCGCATCATATATATATATATATATTATTTCGCGGGGGAGGAAATGTTGGAGAATTTTAACTTACAGATAATTTTTTTTAAATCAGAAGCTAATCTTCGAATCTTCAAAAAAGGGGAGGTGTTATGTAGTAGCGAATACATAAGTACGGGTAATTTGCAGGACCTACTATTGGACTATCATTCTTATTGTATAACTATTCGGTAACTAGATTATCTATATCTATATTCATTTTATTGTAAGCTTCATTTTGATCTATTGATTATTATTGTATGATTTATTGTTCCTAAGTTATACTCAGTTTTATTGATTGTTGTCTCCCACGCTTACAGCCTCATTTGGCCTGGTTTTGTACAAATATTATTTTCTATTTTATGGTGTGGTGTGGTCTGCCTGTCTGGTATATAGATAAAATATGTTTGAAGTAAACGATTCTCATTACAGCAGCTGCTATTGGTGTTTTTGGACTCAAGTGGACGGGTTAGTCGGATAAGGGCCAATAAGGACGCTAGATTACTCATACTAATCGAACGTCATTGTCACAGTGTGAAGGTCGTAGAAGGCGTATTCTATTGGTGGATAATTTACGCGAATTACGTCATTGTTAAATTCGTAAGGTCATAACGAATCAGCGACGACCTTGATCAAGTCATAACAATTGGCTAGCGCCTAGGTCAAAAACATAACAAATTGGCGACGGCTAGGTCAAGTCATAACAAGTGGCGACGGGGATTTCGGCAACAAAAAAATACAACAATTGTCGTCGAGGATTCTGGTACAAAGAAATACAGCAACCGAGACGTGATTTGGGAATCAAGCAAGCTGTAATAATTGCCGGTGAATTTTCAGAGTTATTATTATTATCAGCAGAAAAAAATGACGATTTCTTTAGAACAGGCGCTGATAATCTTAGAGCACCGGCACCAACAGATGCTAGCCTTCCAGCAGCAACTATTTGAAGCAGTCTTGGACAAGTTTTTCAATAATGGTGCTAAAATGGCAGTCCCAGAAGAACGCCCAATTGAGGGTTCACTTCCCTTAACATCTGATGGAAAAGCGAAATGGGTAAGTTGGCCCGTTCAGAGCAAGACAATATCTTGCTAAATGCACATTAAACTGTGACAGTATCAGATGTCAAAGAAAAACAAGGTTCCGTAGACAAAGCCCTAAGCCCAGAGTCTAATGAAGCACCACTCAATCCGCCGATTTCTGAAGACAAACTTCAGTCAGAATTAAACTACGGGTTACATGATATCGGCCAATAAAGCTGGAATGGTGCACATGATTTTGATGAAAATTCTTATGAAGATGAGGAAACTAAGTCGGTTGAATCAAATGATGATCAAAAACCTAAGGCAATTTCATTAGATGATGATTCCCCTAGCTATCAAATATCCTCCGGTGAAAATCTTAATTAATTTGATGGAGATGTTTCAGAAAAGCCAAATTCCGATGACCTAAAATCAAATATCGTTCATTATCATCTATGCATTTCTAATGGATTCTGCATTCAATATGAGAAATGTGTTCTAAATAAAGTCATATTAATTGTAAATTGGAGATATGAAGATCCAACATTATTTCGTGGGGGAGGAAATGTTGGAGAATTTCAACTTACAGACAATTTTAAAAAATCAAAATCTAATCTTCGAATCTTCAAAAAAGGTGAGTTGTTAAGTCGGCTTACAATAAACTCTATCAGAGCCTCCAGAGAGGCTCATAAAGAGCCCAACCAATCAGCGATTAGTTAGAAGCTATGCTACTAAAATGATGAAGTCCTGATTGGCTGTTAAACATATTGCTACTATGGAATCTCAAGGTCTCTTAATTCAAGTCGCTGAGTAGTGCTAGCCTGGGGTTATCCGAATAGCTAGGATCCGAATAAAGCATTCAACCTACGAGTCATAACAATGTATATATATATATATATATATATATATATATATATATATATATATATATATAATACTATGTATATCAATGAGAAGGTTAGGGAAATATGAAACGTACTTTACACGTATCGTGATATTTTATAAAGTAATAATTTTATTCAAAACCCAGTAAACATCTGCACAAAGATGAAAATACATATCTGCAGCTTGAAATATTGTCTTCTGATAGTATTGCATTATAAACCATTATTATTTAATCATGAACGCTTTGAACTATATTCTATACATTTTGACAAACTTATTTAATTATAGAAGGGGTTTTGTGGAGATTTAGTATTTATCATTGTTGAAAGCGTGAGACTGGTAGTTCCTGGGTTCGAATCTCGCTCGCGAGAGCAGGTTCGTGGATGCGCACTGCTGAGGAGTCCCATAATAGGACGAAACGGCCGTCCAGTGTTTCCAGGTTTTCCATGGTGGTCTAGCTTCAATCGACTCACGCTTTCAACAATGATAAAACTTATTTAACTTAAGATAGACAGAAAAAGGTTTAAATGAAAAAACTAGTACATTTGATTTTAATGATTAAAAAATCTTTAATAAATATAACTGTCTCATCAAGTATTAGTAATCTAATACTGGTATATTAAAAATCGGTAAATCAGTTTATTTGTTTGTTCTTCTTTAATAAATACGAATTATTGTTGATTTAAATTTGTTGTTTTAACTAATTAAAACATTAAAAAAGAAAATAGTTACAAAAGTATAATTCGGATATATATACATACGTATATTGACTTTTTTGTTCCATAGAAACAAGTATTTAGAATTTTATTTCTTTTTTGGTTTTTCTTAAATGAAGGTATTGTAATTCTTTTTTAATTAACAAAAAAGAAAATACATTTTTGAACAATATGCTAATACACATGACTATTCTTATACAATACTAAATAAAATTTTAAAAAAGTAATAAATAGAATTGAATAGTATTATTTTCATTAAAATGATCAACAAATGAGATTTATTCTTACACTTAATATGATTATCAGTAATGGATAACGCCATTGCGTTATCCACTCAGCTACTGAGTCCTGATAGCTACTTTCTTGTGCAATAGGGTGAAGTTTAAATTCAATTGGCATTGTTTGTTTGAATCTTCCCATTGATGTTTAGGACTACAACTGGTCAGTTTCCAATTGGCATATGTGCATACTGTGCGTATTGCCCCGATATAGCCTTAGTTCAAAAGCATTTTTAGCGAAGATGGCAAGTGGCCAGCAGTGCAGCGTTTGAAGCGAAAGGTACTGGGTTTGAGTCCCAGAGTGAACATCAACTCTGAGATGCAGGCACATCCAGCTGACGAGTCCCAAAGAGGACGAAACGCGTGTCAAACTGGATTCCCCTGCTAGCCACTATCCATCTTTGCTTACAATGTTCATAAAATAAGACGATGTGAAGTTGATACGCAAGGTATTCACATATGCTAATTAGAGACTGACCAGTTGTAGTCCTAAAAATCAATTGGAAGATTCAAATAAACAATACTAAATGAATTCAAATTTAAACGGTTATTTATTTTGTTAGTTTTTAATAGAATCTTTATATTATTTGTTCACATTTCAAACAATGTATATATATATATATAATACTATGTATATCAATGAGAAGGTTAGGGAAATATGAAACGTACTTTACACGTTTCAAGACTTGGTAATGATACTTACAAGTGATGTGTTTGTTTCCTATGTGTTTTTCCTTTTTAAAAATAATTATAATTTATATCTTCTAAGTTATACACACATTGGTTATTTCTTAGGCAGTCACATGCTGATAAATATATCTGGGATCATTTAGTCAGCATCCTCTTTACATTGTGAATTCTATAAATCTTTGCTGATGTGATATTGAATTAGTTTAATTGATATTTTAGACAGAAATATAAACTCCGAAAGTAACTTTATTATTATAATTATAAGGGAATCAAGAGAAAATTTAAAGATAAACATAAAATGGCGGTCTAGCTTCAATTGACTCACGCTTTCAACTATGAAAATACTAAATCTCCACAAAACATAAAATGATTTAAAGAAAGAATAAATGAACAATTTAGTTGTTTTTTTATCCTTTAAGCTCTACATTAAGTCAATAAATCTTATAAAACCAGTAGCATATATATTTTTCTGTTTCATTACATCTAGAAAACTTTAATGAGAATAATTGTTGTTTTTTCCCCCATTATGTACACATTTATCTACGATGCCCAATTTTATTCCTCCTTCATTATTTTTTTTTCGTGTGATCTTCATTATATATATATAACTTTGCCTACTTTTAAGGCATTTTTTTAAAACATTCCTTTTTTCTCCTCGTCTAGTATTCTGATTACTTTTTTTCTATTTGGCTTTATTTCTTTTCATTCCTTTATATCATTTGTTTGAATAATTAAAGTTAAAACTTCATGATATAGACAACATTTAAGCTTTCATTAGTCACGCAATAGTAAATAAACTTTGAAAATGACTTATAATACTTTGGACAAAATAGAAGTAGCAAATGAGAAGATTGAAGAGAAATTTTCCATTGTACAATAAATTGGTAGACTAATTTATCATAATGTTCAGTACTATTAATATAATCTCATTATTATTTAGATATCACGTTCAGTTGTTGCTTATTGAAATGTATATCAAGTAGTACATACATATATATATACATATAAGTAATTATGTACATACATTCATATATACCTGATGAATGATAAACTATTTCTTGAAGAATAATAAATGCTGAGGAGTCTCACAACAGGACGAAATGGCCGTTTAGTGCTTCCAGGTTTTCCATGGTGTTCTAGCTTCAATTGACTCATGATTTCAACTATATATAAAATAATACATTTGTTTATGTTTAACAAACAGATAAACATTGTGGTACTAATAATGACGAAAACACAATAGATATTTTTTTAAAAACATAGTCGTAAATGTTAGATAATCAAATCTCTGCCAATCTAATTCAATGTTATCAACATTGAAACTAAAATGTTAATGGTTAATGATTTCCTTAATAAACATAATATACCTTATTTTATTTAAATGGAATGTAATGTTTAGGCTTTCAAGTACATTCAAGTACATTTTATATCACTGAAATAAATTTTAGATTACTTAGTAGACACTTTATTTCTTATTATAAACAATCATGTAGTTCTGATGACTCGATTATATGAAGTTTATAATTTTGTAAGTTTTTGGATATCTAGTCTTATATACTTCAATGAAAAATGTATGGTAATGTAATTCTGGTTTTCGCATCTACCATTGTACTTTCTCTATATTAAGATTCAGATTCCTCTGTTCAAATGACTTGAATACGTAAAACTTCGTAATAGTGAAGTAGTATGAATACCTGAATTCATACACCATGTCACTAACCTTCGTATATCTGGCTATGATCGAGTAAAAAAAAACTAATACGTTTTAAAGCAATTTATCTTTTAATATAATAAACGCATCTATTGATTTCCAAGCCAACAGTTGAATACATTGGAGGAAATAAGTTTCCATATTTGTTACAGACGTTATCAATAAATATGTTAGTCGCAAATATTCATTTTTTCACAAAAAAACTTACCATGGACTAAATTGTTTCATTTTTAATTCAGAAAGTTTATAAACTAGTAAACGGATAACCTTCCATTGAAGATAAAACGATAACTATCTTCTTTATACATTCTAACCAAAATTATTTATAAGCTTTTCGAAAAACCGGACGAAAACGTTTTATGGATTTGTCAAGAGATTCAAAACTGGGGGAAACAGTTTTTTTATCAGAACAACTTTCTAAACCAAATATCTATAATTGGTAGTTTTTTATACATCTACAGCTTTTTATAAAAATAGTCCAAACCTAGATTTTATACAATTGTGCCGTCTGACTTTGGTCAATTATGTATGTAAACTGTAATCCAATCTGTTTTTATCGAACTTAATTTGATTCAACTGAGTGAAATTCTTTTAAGTATTTCATGTATTTAACATAAGCTTTGCATGGACAACGTACAAAGAGAAACACATTTCTCACGAACAATTTTTCTAATTTATTTCAATAATAAATAGCCGAACAGAACTTGCTGATATAATTGCGGAAATTCGTTGATGTAGGTCTTCCGCAGTATGTACGATTACAATATTGATCTAAATAATATAACAACCATGCAGTGATGTGTTATATTGTATCCATTTGGAAAAACGAAATCACGAGAAACATGACAAGTTGACGTTCGGAATATTACTGTAATTTTTTTAAAATAAGACAGGAGAATTAAAAATAAAAAAGTCCCGATAGACAACTATTTAAAACCAATAGTTAATCTTCGGATTATTTATTGATTGTCGGTCGCTAATTGTCAGTAGCATTTGTCAAGTGACAATATTTCCCACTTTTATAAACAATCCTATCGTTATTTCTGTTAATTATCGTCTGTCTTTAATAACATCTTTGCGAAAATGAAAAAGTCGTATGTACTTTACTTTTAACTTTCAGATGGTCCTCATCATGTCAATATACAAGGTCCTTATGAAAGAATGATAGAACTGAAACAAAAAGTAACTGTTTATAATAAATTAGAGAGAACAGATAATAAAAGCACAGTGACCACTGTAATAAATAAACAAAAACTATATGTTTATTTAGACAGACCACAATATTTATTATGTGTTACTGATGAATATTATGGACAAGTTGAGATTAAATGGCGGGGTAAATTACATAACAGTGAAAATTGGGAAGTAATCACTCCAGTCGAATCATTTCCATGTAACGAACCTGATGCGTTACACAATTTCAATATCATTCAAGCATCAGTTATACAACTGATTACAACAAATCAAAAACGAAATGCTCTATTATGGACAGAAATAGAATGCAGTGCTCTACCAAGTTATTTCAGAGAAGAAAATAGAAAAATTATATCGAACCAGGTCAATCTGGAAATGTATAGTAGGTATTGCCTTTTTAAAGTTAGGAATAATGGTAGACATAAGAGCCATTACATTTTTTTTGGAGTATATTGTACATTTATCAATTATACCGACTGAAAATAACAAATGTTTTTAATAGTTTTATCTTCATACGACACATATATAATGCCATTAAATTTCATTATTTTCAACCGCATATTATAAACTGATAATTTGTCTATTCCCTCTCTCCTTACTTACTTACTTACTTACGCCTGTTACTCCCAATGGAGCATAGGCCGCCGACCAGCTTTCTCCAACACACTCTGTCCTGGGCTTCCTTTTCTAGTTCTATACAGTTCTTGTTCATTCTTCTCATGTCTGTCTCTATTTCTCGGCGTAATGTGTTCTTTGGTCTTCCTGTTCTCCTTTGACCTTCAGGATTCCATGTGAGGGCTTGTCTTGTGACGCAATTAGCTGATTTCCTCAAGGTGTGCCCAATCCAATTCCAGCGCTTCTTCCTGATTTCTTCCTCCACTGGAATCTGATTTGTTGTCTCCCACAGTAACTTGTTGCTGATAGTGTCTGGCCATCGGATCCGAAGTATCTTGCGTAGACAGCTGTTGATGAACACTTGTATCTTCTGGATAATGGCTTTCGTATTTCTCCACGTCTCCGCCCCATACAGAAGAACTGTTTTGACATTTGTATTGAAAATTCTAACCTTGGTGTTGGTTGACAATTGTTTTGAGCTCCAGATGTTTTTCAGTTGTAGGTATGCTGCTCTTGCTTTGCCGATCCGCGGCCTCATATCTGTATCTGATCCACCGTGTTCATCAATGATGCTGCCCAGATATGTAAAGGTTTCCACATCCTCCAAATCTTCTCCATCAAGTGTAATTTGATTGGTGCATATTGTATTGTATCGGCGAGTCTTGCTTTTCCCTTTGTTTATATTGAGACCTACTGCTGCTGAGGCTGCTGCTACACTGGTCGTTTTCTCCTGCATTTGTGATAGAAGAGCCAGATCATCCGCGAAGTCTATATCGTCAAGCTGCATCCTGCCTGTTCACTGTATCCCGTGATTTCCTCCAGTTGTTGACGCTTTCATGATCCAGTCGATCACCAGGAGAAAGAGAAAGGGTGAGAGTAAGCAACCTTGCCTAACACCTGTCTTTACTTGAAACGAGTCGGTGAGTTGTCCTCCGTGGACGATTTGGCAGTTTAGTCCACCATATGAGTTCCGTATGATATTGACTATCTTCTCAGGCACGCCGTAGTGTCGAAGAAGCCTCCATAGTATCGTCCTGTCCACGCTATCAAATGCCTTCTCATAGTCGATGAAGTTGACGTAGAGTGATGAATTCCACTCGATTGATTGTTCCACAATGATCTGCAGAGTTGCGATTTGATCTGTGCACGATCTATCCTTACGAAATCAAGCTTGTTAATCTCGAAGTTGGGCGTCCACGGAATCCTTCATCCTGTTTAACAATACTCTGTTGAAGACTTTCCCTGGTATTGCGAGGAGAGTGATGCCCCTGTAGTTGTCGCACTTGCTCAGATCGCCTTTCTTTGGTATTTTGATCAGAAGTCCTTTTTTCCAGTCTATTGGTAATTGTTCTTTCACCCCAAATCTTACTGAAGAGGATGTGGAGTATCTTGGCAGTTGCTGTCACATTTGCTTTCAGTGCCTCTGCCGGGATGTTGTCTGGACCCGCTGCTTTGCCACTCTTGATTTGTCTAATGACCATGCTGATCTCTTCAATTGTTGGTGGGCCAACATCGATTGGGAGGTCCGCGGGTGCTGCTTCGATGTTGGGTGGGTTCAGTGGAGCTGGTCGATTCAAGAGTTCTTTGAAGTGTTTTACCCACCTGTTTCGTTGTTCTTCAATGTCGGTGATTACTTTGCCTTCCTTGCTCTTCACTGGTCTTTCTGGTTTACGGTAATTTCCAGCAAGTTTCTTTGTTGTATCATACAGTTGTCACATGTTTCCCTCTCTTGCAGCCTTTTCCACTGTCGTTGCTAAATCTTCCACATATTTACGTTTGTCGGTCCTGATGCTCCTCTTCACTTGCTTGTTTGCCTCTGTGTATTCGGCTTGTGCCTTGGCTTTTTCCGCTCTGGTTCGGCTGGTGTTGATTGCTGCCTTCTTGTTCCTCCTTGCTTCAATCTTATCCAGTGTACCAACAGTGATCCATTCCTTGTGATGGTGCTTCTTTTGGCCGAAAACCTCCTGACATGTTGAAACGATTGCCTCTTTGATACCTTTCCAGTTGCTCTCCATGGTAGTCCCCTCTCCATTGAGTAGATCATGAAAGGCCTGAAACCTGTTGCTGAGTGCTATATTGAATTTGTTGAGTTTGTCAGCATCTCGAAGAAAGGCCGTATTAAACTTTTGTGATGTTGTTCACACCGTTGTCAACTGCTTCTTTAGTTTTAGTTTCATCTTGGCGACCAGCAAATGATGATCGGATGCTATATCAGCTCCTCTTCTGGTTCTCACATCCTCCATCGTCCTCCTGAACTTTTTGTTGATGCAGATATGGTCGATTTGATTCTGTGTAGTGTGATCCGGTGAAATCCAAGTGGCTTTGTGTATGTTTTTGTGTGGGAATATGGTGCCACCTATGACCAGTTTATTGAAGGCACATAGGTTTGCAAATCTCTCACCATTTTCGTTCCTTTCTCCCAGTCCATGTTGTCCCATGACGTCTTCATATAGAGTGTTGTCCATTCCAACCTTAGCATTGAGATCTCCCATCAGAATTGTCAGGTCCTTGGTTGGGCACTTTTCGAAGATCGACTGCAGCCTATCATAGAATTGGTCTTTAGTGTCTTCATCGTAGTCGTTGGTAGGCGCATAGCATTGGATGACGTTCATTGTAATGCCTTCTCTCTTTATTTTGAAGGAGGCTTTGATGATCCTTGGTCCATGAGATTCCCATCCTATAAGTGCATTTTGTGCTTTTCTGGACAACATCAATGCAACTCCTTGTGTATGTGGGACATTTTCTTCTTCATGACCGGAGTATAACAGAAGTTCTCCTGAAGACAGTCGTTGTTGTCCAACCTGCGTCCAATGTGTTTCACTGATTCCAAGCACCTCCAGGTTGTATTTTCTCATTTCTGCAGCAATTTGGAAGACTCTTCCAGTCTCCCACATTGTTCGGACATTCCATGTACCTATAAAAATTGTCGCTCTGGTTGTAAGAAGGTGCATCGGCCTCATGACCTCCGAAGGAACTCAGCTTTTATCATGAGACGTCATAGTTATTTCTTCAACTCGGAGGACAGAGTTTAAATGGTTTTAATTAATTTTTCAGGTTAGCGTTTTTTAGCGAGTTGGTTTTCTACGGGATGGGGTCGCTAACCCCATGCCCCACCCTCCTCCTTTACCCGGGCTTGGGACCGGTAGTAACCCGCAGAGGAGCTACAGGCTTCTACCTATGGAAATTTACATGATCTTATTAATAGTATTACCTAGTCAATTCAGACGACATTTTTATTCTTAACTTGCATTACGGTCACATTATTTCACTTCAGTTGTTATAATTCACTATCTTACTGAGCATTTCGCAGTATGCATCTGACACATACATGCTGTATAAACTTAATTGTGACCTTTGAACTTTGGTAGTCACAAATTTCGTAGGTAATTAGAAAAATAAATCAATTAGTCCCTTTGATAAATTTCGATAGCGTAATAAGAAGACGAAGATTATCAGAACTACGTGATATATTAGGTGTTAAGTCGGCTTACAGTAAACTCTATCAGAGACTCCAGAGGCTCATAAAGAGCCCAACCAATCAGCGATTAGTTAGAAGCTATGCTACTAAAATAACGAAGTCCTGATCGGCTGTTTAACATACTGCCACTATGGAATCTCAAGGTCTCTTAATTACTATAAAACCCCTGTTTTTCTGTACATAAACGAACCTTGTATTAAATTGTCTCGCTGATACTCGTGTCTTCTCTCTGGTCTTTCAAGTCGCTGAGTAGTGCTAGCCTGGGGTTATCCGAATAGCTAGGATCCGAATAAAGCGTTCAACCTACGAGACATAACAATTGGCGACGGGGATTTCGGTAAAAAAAAATACAAGAATTGGGAATTCGGGTGCTAGATCGGGGTTGGAATAAAGTGATTAGTGTTCCAGTTGTCTTTGTCTTCTCTCTCTCGTGCTTGCCAGCCAATCAGGGATGGAATAGTTTTCGTCTCTCTATCCCCACTTCGAACTCACGCATATTAGCCTCAAGGCTAAGCCAGTCAGCCTATCGTGTCAAGGTCTTAATCTGCATTATACATTACATTTTACAAATATATTATTTTTAATTCACTTAGTATTGTTTGTTTGGATCTTCCCATCGATGTGTTTAGCACTGCAACTGGTCAGTCTCCAATTGGCATATGTGCATACTGTGCGTATTGCCTCGATATACCTTAATTCACAAGCATGGTAAGCAGAGATGGATAGTGGCTAGCAGTGAAATCCAGGACGCGCGTTTCGTTCTATTTGGGACTCGTCAGCTGGATGTACCTGCATCTCAGAGTTGATGTTCACTCTGGGACTCGAACCCAGTACCCTCGTTTTCACAAGCAAGTGGCTATCAGGACTCAGTGGCCGAGTGGATAACGCGATGGCGTTTAAAACGAGGGTACTGGGTTCGAGTCCCAGAGTGAACATCAACTCTGAGATGCAGGTACATCCAGCTGACGAGCCCCCAAATCGGACGAAACGCGCGTCCTGGATTAAACTGCTAGCCACTATCCATCTCTGCTTATTTTATTTTTATTTTATGTCTTACATCAACTCGGCTGTCAAATACTGTGAAACTATTCGTTCTAATTTAGACGAGAGTTCTTATATAACTTAGTATACGCCCTTTAACACTTCTATACAACACCACAAAAGCCGAGTTTAGATCAATCTTATGGCCTGTTTCGATTATGTCTGGCAATAGAGGATGACGTATGTTTATCTTCTACTCTTATCGGGTTTGTTCTCACCTTAAACCTACCCTGGTAATATTATCTTATTATCCAGAGTGATCAGGTTTCAAATTGTTTTCATATTATTTTTATCATTATTATCCCTGTCTATTCTTACCCCCCAGTTCCAGTCTAGTTGACCTTTCATTTTTATATATTAATGGCCTTAACAAGTATATATGTGATTAGATTGTTTGAAATGTATTGCCCTAATATAACATACTTAAATATATATTTGATAGCACTTCTAATTTGCATTAGCGAATCACGGTTGAGGGTAAATTGCACGTTGTCAAGTCATCTAAGTGCAGAATAGTCAGTAATTACTGCTATGTTTTCGTTCATCTAGCCACTCAATTGTAGATATTTTGGAATAATTGATATTATGAAATTATAGATCAGGGGGGGCTTTGTGGAGAATTTAGTATTTTCATATTTGAAATGATGAGTCAATTGAAGCTAGACCACCATCGAAACCCTGGAAGCACTGAACGGCCGCTTCGTCCTACTATGGGCTCTGGCTCGAGACTGGTAGGTCATGGGTTTGAATCTCACGAGTGCGGGATCATGGATGCTCAGTGCTGAGGGGCCCCATAGTAGGACGAGGTTTTCGATGGTGGTCTAGTTTCAATTGTCTCATCATTTCAACTATGAAAAAAAATATAAAATTAATCGGAGCTACGACTTTTGCTATGTAATTTTCCTTCTATCACGACTGAGTGTGCCATATTTAACACGTTGTATCATAATGGAGTGTTATTTTCGCCATACAAAACTTGACATTTTTCATGTAAGTCAGAAAAAACGACAGAGAATGAAACACGCCCTCCACAATGGATTACAGTGGTGTAAACAATAATTCCTGCTTCATTTTGTCTGACTGCCATATGTGAGGTCGAAGAGGCTAATGACATTTAAATTATTTAGATTGTTCTTGAAACAGCACATCAAAAATGGATAGGGAACATTTTTTAAATACCTATTCTTGATACGCTTATTTACGAAAATAAAGGGTCATACATGTTGTCGTGATGATGTTTTGGTTGGTTATCATTACTGTTACTATATTATGACAATGTCGAAACCTGGAAAGCGCATTCTGTCATAAGAGTTCAACGCTAATTATGATTTTGTGGTTATTGTATGTTGATAAGACTGTTCAAGCCCACAAGAGAACAAACCTATACTTACTAAATTATGCCTTCAGTTGGATGACAATGTAATGTTGATTATGAGGCAATGCAAATTGGCTACAATATATAGATAGGTTTGTCAGGGAAATGTGGTAACTGAATATGTGAATGCGCTTTTAAAAAGCTCAATGATTTATTGTTATTAATTAAAACTTGTTTCTGTTTTTAGCCATCCCTCGCATCCCGATAATTACAGGGTATAAAGAAGGCACGCTGTTGGCAGATGGAACTATACTTACGCTTCACTGCACAGGAGAGCAAGGAAATCCTCCAGGAAAACTAGTTTGGACTCAAGGTAAGGCTGATGGAAAGATTTAATCCATGAACTCGTCCATAATTTAGGTCCGCTAATAAGTCCGAATAGGTGTTTTTGTTTTTCAATTATCTATCTCTTGATATTTAAAAATACATCTCATGGTTTATTTATTTATGCATTACCCTAAAACTACACTTGATTTGGTGATGATTTATACATCAATTAATATCTTTTACAGCCTACTATATCCATTTCGTGTAAGTAGTAAAATGCTTTAAGACCTGTCTAAACGTTCCTATCCTACTATATTAACATTAGGCTATTGTAATAACAGCTACATCTGACGAGTTATAGTTCACGTGTTCCCTTCATTGTTATCCTTTTAATTACATCAATTATATGCTAACCGTTCAGTAATATTCACAACAATGATATTTCTGCATGAATGAACTGTCAAATCTTTGAAAAAAAGTGTATTATAATTTCAAAGCTGAGATCGTTTATCGTAAAACAAGATACAAAGGAATTTCGAGGTTCCATATTATTTATTTATTTACCCTGATAACTATTACATTAACCACCTTACTGTAACTAATATATTGATTTACTGAAAACCAATAACTAAACGATCTGACAAATAATAAAGCTTGTGTTCTGATTACTCTTGACAGATAAGCGTTATGAACCTTTGAGTCTGAACGAATCAGTTAAGCAGACAAACACGAATAGATACGGAGGAATTTCATGATTTGATGATATTTTAAATCGCGCACTAACCTCAACTCGACAGCATTAGTATACAGGAGGCATTCAACGGCTGTCTCATTTTAGAATGAATTTCCTCACTAGTTTACACGTAACTCTCTTAGAGATAAAATCAAGAAGCTTCACGCTTCACAGCAGCCTGTTACTTTAGAATCAGCTAGTTAAAAACGGTCGGCTGGAATCACTGATTTCAGTCAGTTTGTAGTATACAATGCTAAAGAACACTACTCACATAAGTACAATCTTGGCTTTCTTTGTTTCTAACACTGATAAATCAACAATCATATATTGTTTATCATAAACAGTAGTTGTGAACAATAAGTTAGTAAACACATTTGTTAGTAAGCATTCAGATGTACCTACTGTCTGATGGAGATAATTCTGAGATAATTAAAACAGATTAGGTGTCGTCCTGTCTCAGATGAAACAACTCAACTTATTTTGACTTTTCACATTAATATTCTGTTTCTATTATTATTCTTTCAGTATTAAAAGGTACCAATGAAAGTGAACTAATTGATGAGTCAAATATTATTCAACAAAATCAATCGAACAAATATCCTGATGGAATGATTTACTCAATATTAAATATTAATCTGACAAAATCATATGATGGAGCGATTTTTAGGTTAGTTATGATTTGTTATTTATGTTGGATTCTAAATGCGTATTCATTGTTGGAGCAATAAACAATTAAACGACTTTAAAGATTTCACTATAATGATGAAGAAACATTATTAGTATGTAAATTCAAATGAAAAAATATTGTGAATGAAATTATCTAATACATCCAGACGGACTTATAAATGAAGACGAATCAAAGAATCTCGCTTACATTAAAATTGATTTACATACACTCTTTAGACGATATTTTGATAGAGTTTTGAAGTTGCTTTATGGCAAAACTTCTTACTGTAACTATTACAATGATTATTATACAATAATCATTGCTTCATTCCCTTCCTGCATCTATTTAGCCACTCAAGTAGTATCAATAATATGATACGTCTTTCTGAACTCTTGAACCGGTTTCCTTAGCTCTTCTAGTAACCCCAGGCTTACTCTACACGACAATTTGAACACGAAAGAAAAGGCACGAAAAATGAAAAAAAAAACGTTTTGCACCAAGATTTGCTTATTTTCAGAAATACTGGGGTACTTATAGCATATCAGATAGCTTTGGGTTTCCTTTGAGTTTTAGAATCCGACCAAATATATTAGCAGGATAGGTAATCATCTAATCAGGAATATGATAGTGGACTCTTCACTTTCTAAATGTTACTGAGAAACTTCTATTTAACGCTTATTGGATAAAATATTCCCAAGCGTTTTCAAGGCCCCTCTTGGCACTTTTCGAGGAATACTCTGGATCTCCTAGACATAACCTTTATATAGAGATTATAACTAGAAACTTGGTATATAAACTAGTGTTTAGTTACACAGTTACATAATCAGTTTATTAAGTCACATGAAATGATAAATAATAATAGATATTAAACATTTGCTTGATTTCAAACAAACTTTTAAGTTTTTCATCTTCTATAGTAAATGATTTCTACAAACATGTAAATATTCAATTACAAGTTTGATTTCTTACATGAATTATTGATTAGAAAGATCACTATTCTTTCATAAATACATGTATCTCATTATATTTCATTCCATTAAATGATAAATCATTGTTTCAACTCTTTTATTATCTTAATTCTATAATTATAATAATGACAATGACATACATTATTCTTTGTTCTATCAAAGTTGCAGTTGTTTATTTATTTCTATAATAATAATAATAATCATGAGTCAGTCGAGGCTAGACTACCATGGAAAACGTGGAAGCATTGGACGACCGTTTCGTCCTATTATGGGACTCCTTATAAGTGCTCATAAACGGTCCCGCCACACGAAATTCCAACACAGAACCTATTAGTTTCGCGTTCGAGCGCTTAACTTCTAGACCACTGAGCCGGCATCCAACGGTGTTAATGTCTAACTTTAACTGATTCACGAAATTGAGCGACACATTCACTATTTTCTTCAGTGAGTTACTATCTGAAAACAGACCCGGATTCGAATCTCGCGAGGCGGAATCTCCAATGCGCACTGCTTAGAAGTCCCACAATAGAAAGAAACGACCGTCCCGTGCTTTTAGGTTTTTCATGGCAGTCTAGCTTTAATTGACTCATGATCAAAACTATTAAAATTACTATAATATCCACAAAAAGCCCTTCTGATATTAATTTATCTTTCATTAAATGTGATATGATATAACAATAATTGCTTTATTCAATATCGCCATACAATAAAATGATTTTAGCAGAATATCTAAGGATATAATGGCTAAATCTAGGTTTATATTCATTTTAATTTTACAGATTAAAAAAGAAGATAATAAAAGATCTTTTGTAACAGTGATTTTGTAAAAGTTTTTTTTTTAAATCTACCGGTATTTGAAGCACTCGGTCCTTTCAATGTTTCTGATCCAATGTTTTATATTAGTAGATAATGAATTTCAATGTATTTGTGTTGTAGATCATCAGTATGGATGGATGGATAGTGGCTAGCAGTGAAATCCAGGACGCGCGCCACTTTGTCCTATTTGGGACTTGTCAGCTGGATGTACCTGCATCTCAGAGTTGATGTTCACTCTGGGACTCGAACCCAGTATAAATTTAAATAGACCTCCTTATTCATTAGGCAGAAAACAAGAGAAATATGTATATTGTAATATATTATAATATTTCTACTTGAGCATTCTAATATAATATAAATCTCTCATAGAAGCACATGATTGCATCATGTGATTATCACATCCAAATAATTCATTATAACATAGCTAAAAAATTAATATTCATTGCAATAATACCACAGTTAAAAATTGGTTAACTTATTAGTTAGTTAGTCAGTATATATTCTTAGATATTAAGTGACCATGAAAAGTTGTCAGTACCGAATATGACTCCAAACCTCTGAATAACTTAAGAACTTGAGCGATTTATTATAAAAATTAAAAGCTGTTCTATGTGAATTAATAACGTCTAGTTGCGCAAGGTATTTTTTAAGGGTTAATTTAAAATAGAATTTCTTAATATTCAGTATGATAGTTAGAAAACTCATCTATGTAACCCACCGTATCCTTAGATATTATTCAACACCCTTATGTTTTAAATCTGAATTCTATTATATCTGAACCATGTGCCTTATATATTGTATAAATAGAGCTCAGTGATGTAGGAGTTTCGAAATATTATTATACCCCCTTTTTCATCAAGGGAAGTGATATCTTGTCAATAAAATTAATAGAACATAGATTTATCTAGAATAACAGGATTTACTTTTCAGACATGCAATAGATATTTTCACATTCATTCAATTTTATTTAGATGTGGAACTGTGAATCCTGGTTACGGATATTCGGATACACAATTCAGTTTACCAGTAGAAATTGGTGTATCCTATTCAGCAACAGTTTTAAATATTAGTGTCATAAGTGGAACTGGACGAATGATAACACGATCAAAATTACGTGATGAACTTCAAATTATTTTAAGTTATTATAAATCAAAATACAATGTTGGACATATTCCGATAGTCCAAGCGAAATCTGGTCATTCACTTAAACTAATGTGTCAAGTTGAAATGTCAAATCCAAAACCTGAAATAGAATGGCAACTTCATCATTGTCCACCTGTTCAGCTTGCATCATTTGTGAGAGGTATCAACGATACAATCAACGATATGAAATCAAATGATCCGTATGACGCATTTTTTAAAAGCTGTCAAACTATTCACTTAACAGGTAAGCATTACCTTAATAACAATTTATTGAAACGGATTAAAATGGATATTTTCCTAAATAATCTGTTTGATCGTAAAACAGGATTCGGAAGAAAAATTGTATTCTGATCACTGAGAATCAATTATTTCATATTAAAAGCTATTTTTAGTCAAATAACATTATCTGCTAATCAGTTAAAAATAGTCTGCACCGTACGCTCATCTTATCTTTGTTTAAGACTCTTTTAATAGTTTGCGCTCACGACATGAATGAGAATGAGTTCTGGTTCGAAATGTAAGAAACTAATCTTGCTTAGTTTTTGATAATTTTATAGCTAGATTATAGTGGTGTTACTATATTTAAATACAATAATCTTCACAACAATCATTTATGAATGGTAATCATGTCCTCAGTAGCCACTAGTTTGACAATAACTTCCACGAATCTAGAACGACGTTAAAATGGGTGATTAACACCTTCACAGTGAGCAAATTATCCTCGATGACAATGAATGACTATCTTGCAGTGTAAGTCTTTTAGTGGAGACAGAAATGCACCATCCCTTCGTTTTGAACGATTGTTCAGATGAAATCAGTTTATCATGTAATATTTCTGTACGCATATATTTTGCATCATTTTTCATTCATTATTATGTTTTTAGGTAGTAAAATGGAAGAAACAATAAGTGACTCTGGCAAACTTCACATCTTAAATAGTCATTTGGAACTTCCTATAAACATAACACATGATGGAGATTTACTTGAATGTTTAATTAGAAAATATCCAGTGGAAAATATCAACAGTTCTGTTCATTTACAATCATATGATAACTATGAATTGTCTAAGCCTTATTATCAAAATACACATTCACAAGCTCTTACACTTTTAAATTCACATATTTTACTTTCTATTCAATTTCCACCGATATTTTTAACTTTAACAAAACAATTGAATTGGCCTGTAGAATTGAATTCACCAAATAATAATGAACAATTTTTACCACATTATATTGTGGTTGAAGGTAAATCTGATAATAATTATATTAAAGTTGAATACAGTATTATTAAAATTAAATGCAAATTGAAACATCCCCTAATACTTGTATTTTGATAATGATAAATGAATTTCTACTAAATTAAATCACAACGACATGAAGTTTGTAAAGTTTGATTCGAAATGACGTTAAAATGTGTTAGTTTATGATATAGCTTGGTTTGAATTTGAACAATTATTAGAGATTACAATGAAAATATGAATCCATTAACAGTTGGATCATTGAATGACTACTAGAAGCTATGAGCATTTATTCATTTGTCAGAAGAGGGTTTTGTGGAGATTTTCATAATTTTTATAGTTGAAATCATAAGTCAATTGAAGCTAAACCACCATGGAAAACCTGAAAGCACTGAACGACCGTTTCGTCCTATTGTGGGACTCCTTAGTAGTGCACATTGACGATCCCGCCTCTCGAGGTTCCAACCCAGGACCTATCAGTCTCGGTCTAGCTTCAATTGACTAATGATTTCAACTATAAACATTCATTCATTTATTTGAAAACGTTACAATGATTATTTTCTTAAAATAGACTACTTAAATATAACTAGTATTATATATGTATAAATGACATGTTAAAAAATATGTGTTTTAGGAAAACAAGGATTGAACTTCGGCGATAGCTGATTTTCAAATATTCCTTCAGAACATGCTCATTATACCATTAGTAGCATTATTTTATAATCATTTCCATTATCTGATTTTGAAATTTTTATTAAAAATTTTAAGTTCTTGGAGATTTAGTTAATATTCTATCAACAGTTTACCTCCTATTGTTAATAAGAAAAAGTGAACGGTGGTTACTTTAAGAAGAACTAAATTATCAAGGTGTTTCTTAAACTCAAAATTTGAATTTGTCCTCCAAATCTATGTGTAATGTAATATCTTGAAGATTTATTGAGAGGAATATTAATAATCTTGACTTATTACAGAAAACAATTTTTAAAACGGACAAGGGATTGTAGCCAAATAAAAGGGATCCTTTAAAAGAAATTCATGTGATTGTTCATTTGGAGTGTTTTCAAAACAACGTCATGTTCAAAGTGCAGAATATTATCATGAGTTTCCTTGAAAATACAACCAATACATTTCACTGTCGAAGCCAAGAGAGTTTATGAAATTAAGATTGCTCATAAGATATACCTTGTTTATAAACTACTCAGTAATCATACACTGAGCATATTATGTTGCTAAATCAGAGATGTCATTTGTCTCAGCAATAAACACCCGAAGTACTATTTCAGCAATTATAATGTTTAATGACACCAATATTTACGAACACACATTATGTCACGTAAGCTTTTAAAATATGTAATGAAGATGAACTACCGTAATAAAATTTTTGTAATGATTCGAAAATACTACCATGAGTGGTTAAATGTAACTAGTATTGCTTCCTAAATCAACTTATTCTAAAATATGTGACTAGTTTCATTTGTGCGTTCGTATATATAAAGTTGCAAAATGTTTACCAAGTATCATCTTCATAGCTTGCTAATTTAAGTCCTTAAGGTTTCGTCAAACAATGATTGATGTTCTATTTGGTTTATAGCTGTGTTCCAGATTAACTCACCACTGTTTTCCTCTTGATGCTTTTAGGTACCCTCTTTGAGATCTTACACTATGACAATTATATTTATTGATTTATTAGGTCAGGTGTACCTCATATGTTTTATAAAATAAAGTCTGGTCACGTTTGTCAAAATAAGTTTGAATTTGTTTCAATCGTCATCATTTTGTTATTCTCATTACAACTTAGATTATGCAACAGTAAAGTTTAGCCTACTGTATTAATTATAAGTTTCGGCCTAGAAGAAATTATTAATCGCGTACGGAACATTGTTCCTAAAATTACGAGAATTAATAATTGTCCACCTCCTAAGTCAAATGAATTTATGTCACCAGTCTCCACAATGCCGCAAAGTTCTTGAGAAATATATTAGTAAACAAAACCTTGAACTATATTGTGCAACCAAATCTGATATTTATTCAAAATAACCAAGAAAATAATTTTATGGACTACAAATATATTTCGTACATGTTTGTGAATACTTATTTTTTAGAGATAAACATTCCCTGCATTCAAAAGACATTCATAAAACCATCACAATTTGCCAAACGTACACTCAGTCAGTCAGTCAGCTACAACGTAGGACCAGGCACATATATGCATTGGTCCAAGTTGCCATACCTAGTTAGCACAACAAGAGGAACACCGGATTCATAGAAGCAATTAATTTACTGGTGGTAGTAGTATATAAATTATAGGTTGTATATAAGGATATAGTACAGGAAGGAAGAGAGATATGAAACAATTTTAGTCTCAAGGTTTAAGGGAAGATAAAGAGTGTATACACCTACGCCATTGTGATCGATTCTGAGCCATGTCACCTAGAGTCTCCAACCATTTATTACGATAGTCACGCGGACCCCAACCAGGTAGTCTGCATCTGCCAACATGGCTCAGACTAGAAGTTAGTGACTTCAAACACTGATGCCATGTTTTGGTTTGGCCGCCCCTAACTCTCTTCCAACCGTCCCCAATACTAGTCATCATAGCGCGTCGTGGTAATCGGTGTTCAGGCATACGTAACACATGGCCCAACCATCTCAGTCGATGAAGATTCATCACCTCATCAACTGATTTACCATCGTTCACTAATACCCTGCGTCTAACCTCACTATTACTTACGCGGTGATCCCAGCAGATGCGAGCAATATTTCTAAGGCATCTGTGGTCAAATACTAGTAACCTACGAGTATCTTCTACTCTTAATGGCCATGTTTCGCAGCCGTAAAGTAGAACAGAACGAACTGCTGCGCAGTATACTCGTCCCTTAATTGATAGACGGATATCTCGTCTTCGCCATAGGTGACGTAAGTTGGCAAAAGCCAAACGAGCTTTTCGAATCCGTGCTGAGATTTCGTCAGACACCAACCCATTAGGGCTGATCAGACTTCCAAGATAAGTGAAGTTGTCAACGCGGTCGACTACTTCACTCTCTATCCTTAGTTCGAGTGTTGACGCAGGCCAGTCCTGGAGTAACAATTTACATTTGGATGGGGAGAAACGCATCCCAAACATCCTGGCATTATTACTCAGTTCCAACAGAAGACTCTGCATTTTGTCAGCGTCTTCACCAAACAGGACTATGTCATCTGCGTATTCTAAGTCGCTTAGTGGTCCCCCTGGTAGGAGATCAATTCCTGTAAACTCAGTCGACGAGAGTGTCATTTGCAGCAACAGGTCTATAATGAAGTTAAACAAAAAGGGGGATAGTGGACAGCCTTGACGGACACCACTTGAGGTTGTAAAATCATATGACAGTTCGCCATAAGCTCTCACTCGACTGATAGTGTTCGAGTAAAGAGCCTTCACAAGGTTTATGTACTTCTCAGGTACACCTTTCAATGACAGACACTGCCACAGAACCTCTCGGTCTACAGAGTCAAATGCTGCTTTCAAGTCAAGAAAAACTATCATTGTCGGACGCCGATAAGCATGTCTGTGCTCTAAAACTTGACGAATGGTGAATATGTGATCGATACAGCCACGACCAGGTCTGAAGCCAGCCTGATTTTCTCGTGTTTGCAGTTCACGAGTTTTAGTTAGGCGCCTGATAATTATTGAGGCTAGTATTTTAGATACTATGTTAGTCAGACTAATCCCTCTATGGTTATCGCAGGATGATTTTGACCCCTTTTTATATATTGGGACAATCAGTGATTGTGACCAGTCGGATGGGATTACATCCGTCTCCCAGATTTTAGCCAGAATATTAGTCAACCTAATCGCTAAAATTGGACCACCATATTTAAAGACCTCTGGAGCCAATCCATCAGGACCAGCTGCTCTTCCTCGTTTCAGATTACCTATAGCCTTTTGAACTTCAAGTAGGGTCGGGGGGCCTACTTCAATGTTCCATTCAGGTTTTCTAGGAATAGTGGGTAGTTGTGCAGTAGCTGAAGGCCAGCTAAACTGCTCCTTAAAGTGTTCCGCCCATCGTTCTAAACGTTTGGGTAGAGAGCAGATAAGGGTTCCATCTTTTTCCGAGATCGTCTCACTTACACTTGACTTCTTAATTCCAGTTTCTTTTATTAGTCTGAATAGTTGCCTGGTGTTGCCTACAGCCGCTGCCTTTTCCATCTCTTTTGCTTTCGTTGCCCACCACTGCTCACGATGGTTCCTTAGACTTTTAGTTAACCTAGATCTAATTTGTTTACGCTCTTCGTCATGTTCAGAGCCTGATGGTATGAGTTTACGCGAATCCATCAGTGAAATAGACTTAGAAGAAATCCACTGGTTTTTTGGAGCCCTATGGTTTAAATGACTAATAGATGTTACTGCTGTCTCCACAGCTGTTCGTATGCCTTTCCAAGCAGCATCTGGGTCAGTCTCGTTTACAGAACTGCCTAGATGTGAACTCAGTTGTCTCTGGAATTCACATTTGGATTTCTCGTCCTCCAGTTCAATCCTAATGGGTCTTCTTAGTGTACTTTTCCTGCGTCCATTGAGGCGCAGACAAATGCGTGCTCGTATTAAAGCGTGATCAGAGTCTAAACAAGTATTCCAATATGAGCGACAATCTTCTATTGAGCCTCTCCAACGATGACTGATGACAATATGGTCTATTTGAGTCCATCGTTGGTTTGGTGCAGGTGGTCGCCATGTTGGACGATGTCTCTCCTTATGTTTAAAATTAGTGCTTGCCAAAAATAAACGATTGTCTGAGCATAGTTGCAACAGACGATCACCATTATCGGTTCGTTGAGCCGGAATACTAAAACACCCACCTAGATGTCTTTCTGTTTGATTTAAGCTGCCTACCTGGGCATTAAAGTCACCCGCTACGACTACTATGTCTGAGCGCTTAGCTTTCTGAAGAAGCTCAGAGAGCTTTCTGTAAAAGTCATCTTTCACCTCATCATGGCTGCAGTCAGTGGGAGCGTAGGCAGAAACGACGAAAAGGCAACGACGTGTGTCCCTATCCTTCCGAGTTCTTACGGAGCCATTTAGCCGGACAGCACACAGGCGACTGTTAACGGGGATCCATTCTAATAGTGCCTGTTCTGCCCTTGTACTTAGTGCTATACATACACCTGCAAGTCCACGAGAACTAGCCAACGGGTCGCCAGATACACGGAGGGTGTATTTCATTGGCTGTCCATTTTGGCGAGGTGAGGTCAAGTGAATGACCACACTAGGATCCTGTATGCGTGTTTCGGAGACACAGCATACATCAATGGTACGCGACTCTAAGGTTTTAGCTAAGGAGGCCTGTTGACCGATTTGACTTAAAGTACGTACGTTGAAGGCTCCAATGTATAGTTTGGAGCGAGGTTTTAGTAGACCTGGGACAGCGTTTCGCGCACTAGAATCGTTGGCCGTGGTGACACTTGAGGAGGAAACCGAGAGAGGAAGTTTAGTGTCGAAAGTCAAGGTAGAAGGAATAGTAGGAATTGAAGAAGGAGATTGATTATGAATACAGTGGTCTTGAGTGTTGTTAGAGGTATGAGGGCAGTTATCACTTCCCGGTTGCCCACACCGTGGAAGGATTCTTCTAGAGGTACCTGAAAAGGGAATTGGGTTAGAAGTGGTCTTAACGACCTGAGAGCGTGACTGCAGTGCCCAAGGGACAACTGCTTGAGGTCGGTCACACACGACCTTTTTGTGGGTAGTTTTTGTGTTAGCTCCGTTCTTCAAAAAAAAACCTTACCGACGGAGACGGATATCCGTGGGATAAGGCGAGGTGTGCATTTTTAGGGTCGACCTTTTCTAACCCCACCCCTCCTTGTGGGAAGGCAGCATCGCTGTCATGCTGGTTGTCTGAAGGAAACACCTTACTGCTTTCACACCTCTGTACAGTCAGCAGTACGACTTCGCCTTCGGACCTTGGGTTTGCTGCTTTTAGTCTCACCGCTCTTCAATCGACCTGTCTGGCATGGTAGGACCTCGAGGAACGATTGTTCCAGCCAGCATAGCTCGATTGGATCATCACGATAGGCAAGCCCGACCACCACGTCAAGGTAGCAGCAACGGTCGGGCAAACGTACACTACTGATTTTTGTATCCCATTGTATACAACTATTCCATCTTAGACTGTCACAATTAGTTCAATAAAACTTCTGGATAGAATAACATTTGAAATGATCAATCCTAAATTGTATTTTCTAATAAGTCATTAAATGGTAAATAGTTTACTGAAATTTAAAATATAACTGATTTAAACGGCATAAACAACTTTATTCTATTTCCTTGTCCAATTGTTTAGATTTCTAAGCATTCTTCAATTTTGTTTCTGTGGCTATAAATTGAACATATGAAATAAGTCTTTCAGTTTATGCTAAATTTGTGCCTTAACAAAAATTGGATTGAAATGAAATCATTTCATTAATTTGTTATATTTTCACTTTTACTTTAGGTGGATCACTTGATTTAGATTTAGAGCCTATATCTAATCCATCATTAAGTAAAACATCTTGGTTTAGAAATGGTATACCACTTCCTTTATCAATTAATCCAATAAAAACATTGTATTCTTTTAAAAATGAAGAAATGAATGAAAGTTCTAAATCATATTCAATTGAAGATTTAAATCAACGTTTAATAGTAAAACCAACTAAAATATTTATTCATCCTGTTAAACGATCAGATATGGCCAATTATACACTGATTGCAACAAATACTCTAGGGAGTAAAGAATTTACATTTTTTCTAAATGTGACTTGTAAGTCATAAATTATTTATTAATTATAAAATATTATTACCTTTTTTTCTTTTTTTTACAATATTCACAATGATGTAACTTATTATAAGAACAATAAACGGGTAAGATGATTCCTAATTGATAAACCATAGGATACTATTAAGAATGAATATAATGATACTTTTTTTCTTTCCATTTTTTTCTACTATTACAAAAATAATTTTAATTAATTTTGTTAAATGGTTTCAATATTTTTTTCATTAAAGTGATGATAATAAATAAAATTGAAGAACTGTTTTAAAATCATTTATTCTACTAATATATATATTGAGTAATATAGTAATAAATATATTTGGAAATCACTTGGTATTGTTTGTTTGAATCTTCCAGTTGAATTTTAGGACTACAATACCAAGTGAATTCAAACTTCAACCCATTGCACAAACAAGTGGCTATCAGGACTCAGTAGCTGAATGGATAACGCGATGGCGTTTGAAGCGAAAGGTACTGGGTTCGAGTGCCAGAGTGAACATCAACTCTGAGATGCAAGTACATCCAGATGACGAGTCCCAAATAGGACGAAACGAGTGTCGAACTGGATTCTACTGCTAGCCACTAACCATCATTGCTTATACTTGGAAATGTTTGTAGGGAACAGTTTTCAAAACTCACTGAATAATTGTTATCATATGATAGGAAGAAAATGAGTATAATAATAATAATAATTTATAAGAAATTCATTTTATATTTTTTGACAATCACAATATCTTAATCCTAGATGTCTTGTTAATTCAATCAAAGAAGGATGTTATGCAGTCACGACTAGAGTGGAAGATAAATTTTGATGTCATGTCAAAACAAAATACCTGACCAATGAAAATCATTTACCCTTATCTTTCAACTAAATCGCCTGTGTATTTGAAAGAACCGATTAATAAGTATGTGATAGAAGAGAAGTTTAAACTTCAGATTATGACGTTTTCAAAGAGATCAATATTTTTAGATGTATTATCTCCAGGTTGTTCATAAAAAGAGTTATGATTAAAGCTGTGTATCTATTGAATATCACGGTTGAATTATACCCGATAAAATACTAGGACCATATTTTTAATTTCACGTCATATTTGCAAATCTGTACTTTTAACTGTTACAGTGACCAAAATTAAAATTAGCAAACAATTAAAAAAAATTAGGTCGTGCATTTGCAAGTATCAATTTTCCTGACCATTATTCCGATATCGTGATGTCAATTTGGCTTATGCAAAAATTTACATAAAATACTCATCGAAAAAAAGTCAAACGTAATATCCTGATTTTCATCATTAACAGTGTGTACGCTTGATAGCTCTAACAGTCATTTGATCATCTTACACTGTAGTACAGTTCATACTAAGATACAGAAAAACTGGCTACATGGGAAATTTATTTTTTCAATCCCCAAAAAATAATTTGAGTTGTGCTCAAATATTCACAAGAAAATTTTCAATACTCTTCATAACAAAATGGATTCCTTTCAAATTGTTACATCTACCCAAATATATTGATCCTTGTATAAAAAATAAAAATATTCATAAATAAGATTAGTAATTCACATAGCAGTCAGTTAGTTTGAAAATGCAACGCTTACAATGATGGCATTCATTGCTAGCTCCTTAAAAGTTACCATTTTCATAATGCGAAACAGTTTTTAAAGTAGATTTCCGGGAATGAACGAATAGCACATTATATTGCAAATGATAGATATGAAAATCCTTAGGTAGGTAATACACACCCATTTTCAATGTTCTAGGATAACCATATTTTGGAAAAGTCGCTTCTCTACCATAATTACATAACCACTCGCTTATTGTTAATCATTTTTCTCTGATCCATTTATAACCGTTACCACTACAAGATGGGCCTCAATTGCTTGGTTCGCCTTCAGTAAATTTGACAGTTTCTGGTAAAAAGGCTGAACTATTTTGTCAATCAGAAGCCAATCCCACACCCACCACAAATGCTGTCCGCTGGAGGCGTTTAACAAACACACTGGTTGGTTATGACTATGCAGAAAATATCTACAGAAATTCAATCTCTCGATCATCTTTTTCTACAAAGAGTCATACTTCACAGGCTGATTCAGCTGCTGGGATTCATTGTGACAAAGTTAGTTCTTAACATACTTTAATACATTTTACGGTTACGTATATAGCTTGAGCAAATCCCTATTTCAGGTGGTATAGAAAGCCAGCTCGTCTGTGATGCTATCGTCTTCTTCAAGATAGATAGTATGTATCAATTTCAACTTACAGATCCAAACTTTGTACTGAACAAAATCTAGTCTTCTAAAATAAACTGACTATTTTTGATATAATCCCAATATTTGATGTACATAATCAGAATTATTTTTTAACATAACCTCGATGTTATTTGAGGACCTAATAATCATGATGGCGAAATCCTCTAAGACATCAACAAGCAAGAATTACCCATGAATAAAATCCTCCCCCGAGTTAGTGTACTGCATAATCGCTTTGCATATCGAAAGAAATGCACACAAATATAGATGTAAGAAATCCTTAGAAGCACGTTGTAATAAATGAGATGAATTAATTCACAATATGATCGCCTTTTTTAACTGTTAGCTAATTCCTCAACACCCTGAGTATCTAGGGCCATCACATAGTCTAGTATACCTGATGAAGATGTTTTGAAAGAAGAATGTCTTATGTTGAATATAGTTTGTTCGCACTCCACTTAAATCAAATGTATTACATTAGGGATCTGAATTACTTGGGTAGAAATTCACTACTACTTATATCTATTAATTTTAAAAAAGAGATGAATGCTAGTAGAATATATGTTCAACGACGATCGTTTGAGCTATGAATCAAACTGCAGTTCATGATTGTTGTTTATTGTACCTTAATGATTACCTTTCAGTCTTAAAATGCTAATAGTTCTTAGCGTCATATTCTCAGTTAGGAAGTAAATATTAGTATTCACTTGTGAAGCACTTGTTTTATCTTGTACTCTCATGGTTGTATTTTTGCAACATGATATTGTTTTCAAATGTTAAATAGTGATACAATTATTCTATACTTCACGGTAGCTATGAATCTAAATAAGCGCTAATTTATACTAATCTACAGTATTTTTACCGTGCCAGTGACTAAAAGTTCTCTTTTTGTTTGATTTCGATTTAGCTTTCGTCATTTAGACTCGTGTTTAAAATACATATGGAGTTTGATTTTGAGCCAATGATATACAAATTAAATTCTACCCCATCAAATTACGTGTACTCATCCTTGCACGACCTATACATTTAATAATTTAGCACCTAAATTTATATCTTCATGTTGTTGCCAAATATTACCTTGTATTTATATTTCCTCACTAACTAACAGCCATTTTTGCTTTTTTCTTCCGTTAAGAGTGTTTCTATTAGAAAAAATTCTAAATCAGTTAATAGTTGATTGGTGTTTGTATAAGTTAACATTCAACCTCATATTTCTATTTATCCAATAATCACTTGTATTTTCTTTTCGGTCTTTCAAACAAATTAATTAACTATCAGAGGGGGTTTTGTGGAGATTTAGTATTTTTCATATTTTTTAAAGCATGAGTCAATTGAAGCTAGACCAGGTTTTCCATGGTGGTCTAGCTTCAATTGACTCATGCTTTAAAAATATGAAAAATTAATTAACTCTTGTTTATAGAATAATGTAGTCAATGGAAGATAAATAAAATGATATAACTATTTCTAAATTTTACGCATAAGAAGTAGAAATGTTCATTTTAGTCCATTAGTATATAATGCACTTTGGGACTTTTATGTAATTATATATATATACTACTGATAACATTTTAGAAATAAATGCATTAGAAGAATGAAATGCATTAATAATCTTTAATAAGCTACAGTTTGCATAGGTAAAACGACTGGCTAAATATAGTTGTGTTCATAAATATGCTTATATATGTATATATATGCACATAAGTTTGTCAGAATTTATGTATTTTTGTAGTAAAAAAAAGAGAATGATATACGGAATACTGATTAAAGCTTATTGTATAGATGAAGTAAAGCAACATACTTAAATTCTGTCTTTTTATTTATCGTTTATTCATATTCTTATCCATAAGTACTTTCATTTTATCTCCAAAAAGAAAAGTTGGACAGTTTATCAGTAGATTATGTTTTTTTTGTATTGACCTACCAGTTGAACACTTACTTTTTATTATTTCTAATATATATATATATATATATATATATATATATATATATCCCAATTCATTTGTTTATTCAATATGTCTGTATGCGTACACTTTGGGAAATAAATTAAAGTTAGTTTATTCTTTTCTATTATTTTTTCAAGAAAAAGACTTGAAAATGATAAGTTTGCTTTCATTTTAGTTTATATTAACAAATGTTAGTTAACACAAATTTATTTGAATGAATCTAAATTATCCCATAGATGTGTATACTTATTGTAAATTTAGTGTATATAAACACTATGTCTAATGTAATTACTTGAAATCTAAAATAAACAGTGTTTTGGATTTCCAAAGATTAATTGGATAGTGTTTTAGCTAAAAAAAAAGTACATCTTATAATAGTTTGGTATCTTATGTTTATAATTATTTTGGATAAAGTGAATATAGTACTTAAAAAATTGTCAACTATTCGTAAGACACTGGGTTCGAGTCCCAGAGTGAACATCAACTCTGAGATGCAGGCACATTCAGGTGACGAGTCCCAAATAGGACGAAACGCGAGTCCTGGATTCCACTACTAGCCACTATCCATCTTTGCCTAGGATATTCGTAAGACATTTGAGTAATTTTTCCTCATGAAATACTTTATGAGAATTATTAAACGAAATAATAGTTTTTTTTAATGTCTAATAACCTATACAAAATAAGAAAAAAACGCTGTTCATTTCAAACCCTAAAATACGAAAATGGACGCATCTTATTTCACATATTTGTTTATGATGTCACTTTTCTTGTCATCCTAATTAAGAGGAAGGGTTAAATACTTTCTAGAGACAGTCAGTTTTGTAATAGATTATGAACGATAAAATGCAATCTGGATATACAAAATAATAAATTTAAAGTGATTTTATATAGGTTTTAATTTATAACTGATTGGATTATGTAAGCTATTACATAACCATTTTTATCCTTTTACAGAATATGTTGTGATCAGTGTAAGTCATCAGGAGATTTTTGTTGAATATTCTCTAATTAATGGGATTCAGAAAATGAGGAACAAGACAAATATATTTCTCATTATTATTTTGTATAACATTGTACGGTATTGAAACATAACTTCATGATAATAGGTCGACTTAACTCTGGAAAATTAGTTGATATTTTTTCAATATGCTTTGACATGATTTGTAACATGCACATTAGTCTAACTTATATCTACTCAATTAACAACATTTATGTACATTTGCTATCAAACAGGTTGAATGGAATGTTGGATTTAAATATTATGCAAAATGTTGGTCATCAGCTCCTGGAGTAATGACTAGTACACTTACAATATACGATTTAAGTCCAAATGATGTTGGGCGATATCAGTGTAATATGGATAATGGAATCGGATCGCCAGCTGTTCGTACAATTGATCTTACTTATCCATGTAAGTTTCTAATCGATATAAAAATTCAAATGAGATTCATCCCATTTAATTTAACTACCTGTTGATAATAATTTATGATCATTAAATAATAAAAACTGAGATCTCATATCAAAGAGTCATAGAAGCTAAAACATTTATAGCTGATTTCAAGGTTCTGTTAATAGACACAATATGCGCCATATATTTTGTGGTATGAGTATTAAATGTAATCTAAAATAGGTGAAATAAATATGCTCATTGCTTTTGCCAACTAATTTGTTTTAACAGTTAGCCTTAATAAACAATGTGCTTCCCACCACTGCATTCAACCACTTGTCAACATCGACATATTTTCCATTAAATTTTGTCTACTTGTAACAATGTGAATCTCTGACATAAATACTTTTAAACGTGCTCCCAAATGATGTCTTATGTAAGTTGTCTTCGACTTATTTTAAAAGCATTTGATAAAATGAGAAAAATTAGGATGCAGCCACTGTGATTACAAAATACATGCAAGAAAATATCTATCTATTGTACACTATAACAGAATGTAGTTTTGTTAGGAATAATGGCGTCTACATATAATCTCCTTCAGTATACCTTCGTTTTAATGGTCATCAAGCCACTGAAATAATCGATTGGAGAATAAATAGAGCATCAATAAGAAAATATCCATACGTCAAATGAATTAACTACTAGACCAAAGCCATGTTTTATGTTATTTCAATCAAACGTTTCTGACTCACATGTATGTGTTAAGCCAAAAATATTGAAAGAACGAACGGAAGTGCACATATTCACAATTATACACATTTCTATAGGAACTTGAAACTATCATTTCTTTTAAAATTAGTTCTTGCTACATTTAACTGGTAACAACACCTTGTCGATCATGAAGTGAATTAGTTATAAAATGCAAAAGCGCATAATTTTATTTGTTTTCTGATGAAAAAATGTTTAACAACTTAAGAATAACTAATGATTAAATTGTTCGTGTTTACCAACAAAAATTGAAAATGAAGATTGCCTTCGCTATCTATTTACACGATTTTTACTTGATTATTTATTACTTTTTTAAACTTTTAAACTCCAGAAACTTAGTAAATCCTTTAAGTAGCCAGTGATTTTAATTTACAAAAACGCTTCATGGGGTTTACAGTAAAAGGTATTCTTTCCCATATAACTAAACATAATATCAAGAATAAAGATGCTCCCTTGGTCATATAACCAGCAATTTCCTACATGGCTGAGGATTATTTCTCCTCTGTATAGCAGAAGCAATTAGTACTAACCTGGAGAAAATTGACGTGTGTAAAAGAACTGATGCCGTTAACCTCTTCGTTAACCTTGGTATATATGTAAGGCATTTCATTTCCCGTCCAAACTTGTTAGCACACATTATAAACTTTACCCCTCTATCCATACATTGCGACTTGTACTCTTTCCTAAGACATTTTACAAGTCTTAATAACCCATTCATCTTTCACATTTAAGATAAAATTCTGATTGTCAATTATTGACAGTATCGTTGTTGCTAATATGATTGTGATAACCATGCACAAAAATTCTTGATTTTGAGTTTCATTTGTTACACATGTTTATAGTACACTGATTAGAACTTATCATCACATATATGATTGTCCTTGTCCCTTCTTTGATGACTAGTTTAACTGTATCCATAGTGCGTTTTCTTAATATTTAAAGCTCAATCGAAAATGAATCCACAATTCTTCCATTTATAATACAGATTATTTCAACTAGAACATTTACATATGCATCTTTATATTTTGTCTAGTGAGATACAATAATTGTGAATTTAGAAGTGAAAAAGTTATGGAAAAAAATTGTTTGCTCAAGTATTTTATGTCTTGCTTACTACTACATGTCTTTAACTAAGTCCAATAAAAAAAATTTTGTTGATGTTACGAATCCATATCTACTGATACTAACATTTGAGAAAATCGGAAATTGTTTTCACTATAACCATATTTTCTACACACAAAGGAAAAAGCAAGATTCTCAAACACACCAGAGAAAACACCAGCTCAATCACACTTGATGGAGAAGCTCTGAAATAGATGGAAACATTCATGTATCTGGGAAGCATCATTGATAAACAAGGAGGATCGGATGCAGATGTAAAGACGAGGATTGGCAAAGTGAGGGCAGCATTCCTACAATTGAAGAACATGTGGGACTCCAAATAACTGTCAACTAACTGCAAACTCACAATCTTCAATACCAACGTCAAGACAGTCCTACTGTACGAAGCTGAAACGTCGAGAACTGCTACATCCACTGTAAAGATGGTACAAGTATTTATAAACGGTTGTCTATGCAAAATACTCAACATTCACTAGCCTTATACCATCAACAACAGCGTTTTATGGGAGAGGATAAACCAGCTTCCATCTGAAGAGGAAATTAGGAAAAGACGTTGGAAGTGGATCGGACATATATTGCGGAGATCACCAAACTGCATCATTAGGCAATCCCTAACTTGGAATTATGAAGGGAAGCGGAAAAGAGGAAAGCCAAAGAATACATTACGCCGGGAAATGGAAGCAGATATGAAAAGGATAAATAGTAACTGGAAAGAACTGGAAAGGAAGGCTCATTACAGAGTTGGATGGAGAATGCTGGTAAGCGGCCTATGCTCCTCGACGAGGGGTAACAGGAGTAAGGAAGTAAGTAAGCATGTTTTCTATACGCTAACTGTAGAAAAATTGCATAGGAGTGAACAGTCCAGAAAAAAGAAATAATGCATTTTTTTCTACAAATCTAATAAAATATGTTTGTGCGTAAATAATGTTATCAATTTTATTAATTCATTCACATTAACAATAATTAATTGTTTATTATTGTAGTTGCACCAAGAATAGTACCAGTAACAAGATGGTCAAGAGCTGCACCCAATATAGTTTCAAACAAGAATAACACTATCAGTGTTACTCAATCAACTGTAATTTCTGATCAACTAGTTTCTGTAGTAGAAGGAGCTCACGCAAGGTTAACATGTGTAATTGCTGCAGAACCTAACCCAGAAGTACATTGGTTGAGAGAGCCTGCTAATTTAACATTAATTGAAGGAGGTCAATTTCATTCAATAGTTAAATCTATTCGCCCAGGATTATATCATGCAATATTGTATTTGATACAACCACAAGAAGTTGATATGGGTCGATACTTTTGTAAAGTAAGTATGATTTGAATAGAAAAATATATCAACAATATTATGATTATAATCAACAACACAAAATCATTTTATTTCTGCAATCATTTAATTAACTATTAAATCTGTTTAAATTATAACTTAGTTCTATATTTATATTCACTTATTATTGTTTATTTGAATCTACCCATTGATTTTTAGGACTGCAACTGGTCAGTCTCTAATTAACATATGTGCATACTGTGCGTATTGCCTCGATATAGCCTGAATTCACAAGCACTGTTAGTAAAGATAGTTAGTGGCTAGCAATTGAATCCAGTTTGACGCGCGTTTTGTCCGATTTGGGACTCGTCAGCTGGATGTACCTGCATCTCAGAGTTGATGTACACTCTGGAATTCGAACCCTGTATCCTTCGCTTTAAACGCTATCGCGTTATCCATTCAGCTACTGAGTCCTGATAGCCAATTGCTTGTGCAACGGGATGAAGTTTGAATTCACTTAGTATTGTTTGTTATCTATATTATGTTTTGAAATTATTATTGTCTGGTTTCGTATTCTATGGGTTATTTTTATGTGATATCATTTTATCAATAATATTAGTTAGTAACAACTAGGGTATTCAGTTTGTTTGTTCTGTCCATTTTTTTCGTAATTTTTTTTTATCCAATGTGTTTTACAACTTATCTTATATTTGATTAGAAATTAAAGTTTTTTTTTTGTTGTTGTTGTTGTGGTGGTGTTATTGAATAAATCCAAAAAACTAACTTATCATATTCCGTTTGAAAATTATAAAAAAAATACCTTTAGTTATTATAGTACCATATGGTAAATTACTTATGGTATGTCAAATATATGAACGGAATTTTTAGTAGTGAACAGATGTTTGAATGAGCCAAAATAAAGATAATGATTAGCCTTAATTTATAATTTATTAATATAAATATAATTTTAAATTATTTGTATAACTATTATGTATAAAATTATTACTCTTGGGATTAAAAAATTAATAAATAGAGGGTTGCTTTTTTTATGAGCAAGTATTATTATTATAAACATAGTTTTATCTTATTGAACTCTCTACACCAGATTATGTAATCACTGAGATGTTATCTCTTTAAAGCTTATTTTTTCTATTCATCAAATAATGAAGTTATGCAACTCATATTTTTTTTTACATATTTATAATTCTATATCAAAATAAACTTCATAATCAAATTATATGATAGTCTATATCTCCCATTGAATGGCCGACTGATTATACAAATACAACAATTTGATTAGATATCATAAACTCTATCATTTTTGTTGTACACCTAATAACACATTACATAGTTAGACTGATATAGAGTATAAGACAAACATTTGAGAAAAACAGTCTCCTAATAGAATGAAAGTACTTAGGGTAACCACGAAATATAATCTGCACATACAGCAATCTTTTTAACATAGCTATATTTCCAGAATATTTTTACTGATACCTAACTTGAACAACCAATATTTCATAACATTAAAAGTTCATACCATAATAATAAAGTCAAAAGTATTATAATTTGACATTGAACTTATTTGATATAATATATAAAAGTCTTGAGTTGCATTTCTGTGTGGCTCTCCCCCCTCCCCCGATATCATTACTAGGGGTTCCAAGGCTAGGATATGACTGCTGCTTACTACTTTACGGTTACTAAGTTTTTTCAGCTGATGTCATTTTATGACCAAACCTTCATCAATTAAAGCAGTACTTCATGGAAAGTTATAATTTTTGAATATTCATAACTTCACCATTTATTTAAATTCACTTGTTAAGGAAGGTAATAATCAGGAATAATGTCAATTAGTTATGAGAAGTTACAAAATATTTACATAATACATATACATAGTCATCTTAACTATCTTTTTGTCTGGTCTGCCGAAGCCATGTTTTCAATTTACTTAAACTCTTCACTCTTTCTGACAACAATTGCATCTTCAACTCCACGTTCCGCTACACACTACTTACAAACAATCTTGTAAGTAGCTTCCACTACACAATATATAACTGTTTCTCCGTACGCTTCTGAAATTAAAATGTTTATCTGTTATTATAACTTACTATACAGTGGACAGGAAGGATGCAACTTGATGATTTAGACTTCGCAGATGATCTGGCTCTTCTATCACAAACACAACAACAAATGCAGGAGTAAACAACCAGTGTAGCAGCAGCCTCAGCAGCAGTATGTCTCAATATAAACAAAGAGAAAAGCAAGACTCTCCGATACAATACAATATGCACCAATCAAATTACACTTGATGGAGAAGATTTGGAGGACGTGGAAACCTTTACATATCTGGGCAGCATCATTGATGAACACGGTGGATCAGACGAAGAAGTGAGGGCAAGGATCGGCAAAGCAAGAGCAGCATACCTACAACTGAAAAACATCTGGAGCTCAAAACAATTGTCAACCAACACCAAGGTTAGAATTTTCAATACAAATGTCAAAACAGTTCTACTGTGTGGGGCGGAGACGTGGAGAACTACGAAAGCCATTATCCAGAAGATACAAGTGTTTATTAACAGCTGTCTACGAAAGATACTTCGGATCCGTTGGCCAGACTCTATCAGCAACAAGTTGCTGTGGGAGACAACAAACCAGATTCAAGCGGAGGAATAAGCGCTGAAAGTGGATAGGACAAATATTTAGGAAATCACCCAACTGCGTCACAAGACAAGCCCTCACATGGAATCCTGAAGGTCAAAGGAGAACAGGAAGACCAAAGAACACATTACGCCGAGAAATAGAGACAGACATGAGAAGAATGAACAAGAACTGTATAGAACTAGAAAAGGAAGCCCAGGACAGAGTGTGTTGGAGAAAGCTGGTCGGCGGCCTATGCTCCATTGGGAGTAACAGGCGAAAGTAAGTATAACTTACTATACAAAAAAGTCCATTTCGATTATGATTGAATTCAATGAAATGTACGACCAAACAAATTTTAAAAAAGCCTATCTATGATTCAATCTGATCAAAGTATACATTTTATTGCTAACCATTTCAACATTAACAAACAATAACAAGCTCATTTCAATTGCACTCCTAAATCCATTCTTTTAATTAAAAATATGCATTTGCTTCAAATTCGATTTTCCCTTTTAATCACCACATCGGACTCATCATTATAAAGCGTGAAGAGAAAATGACAATATTCCTCTTTTGTATACCAGTATATTTCAGTATGATGAAGATTTTCAAGTTGCTATTACTCTTCAAACTATATGTTGATCCAATTTGAAACTGGTTATGCTTATTAGTTTGCGTGTAAAATGGATTTTTACCACAACCCCTTCTCTTATCATTTCTTGCTTACTTAAGAAAGCAACAACTCAAAGTGTCAAGCATAAATTGGAGATTTTATGTCATTAAATAATGGGTGTTTTCTATCTACCACTGGAGATATATGTACTATTATAAAATAATATTATTCAATGTTGAAAAAATCTTTCCATTCAGAACACTTAGATGTAACATAAAAGAAAGGCGTAAAACGCGTTTCATTTCTGAGATACTTTCTTCATATCGTATTATGTTATATGCTTAAAAATATTTATTACTGATGAATGTGCTCATTTGATACTGTATATTTTTGTCATCACAAATGTTTTATGCTTTAAAATTATAATATCATTCAATTTATAGATCCTACCTCAGTACTTCAGAAGTTTTGGCACTGACAAGAAAATGCACTTTAAGTGTGATTCACCCTAGTAAATGTGTACAGATTCTTCTTCATTGATTTAGAATAAACAGTTTATGTGAAAGGTTTTGTTACCACCTAGAGGTCAAAACCGTAAAGGGTTGTACTGGGTTTGATTACATTAACTAACACTTAAAGACTGAATTTTAAACATTATCTCACCAACATATAAGTAATAAAATTAGTGTTAACTAAATGTTTTAATGGTATGTAATCAAAGCACCAAGCAAAGTGATAAAACAGTATTAGTCGCACATTATTTCAGACATATTTTACGTTATTTTAGTTATGTTATCTTTCAATGGTTAGAAGTGAGTAAAGTATATGCATAGATGGTATTGTCACACAAATCTTAATTTTAATCAAAAAATCATTATATGTCAACCTTTCTACTCACTCTATGAAACAACATGGACCACGAAACTTGGCCTTTATTAATTTATTACGCTTAATTACTACGGTAACTTTTCACCTTATTTCTTTAATATATCTAGTTAATGCTTTTTAGGGCTCGGTATATTCAAAACAGTTTATCCAAAGGTAGACTGTAAGATGTTTGGCTAAACGGTGTATATTTTACTTTTAAAAAGCACTTTAGTAGTTATAAAATTTTCTATATCTTCATTATAATTCCTAATACATATAGCTACAATTTTATTAAATAAGATATTTTTAGCAGCTCTCTATTATTCTCTCTTTTGAATAACTTAGATGTCATTAATTCAGAAAGATTTTATATTGTTTAAATACAGAATAGAATTGTTCTTTAACTTATATGTTAAGCTTTTCAGTCTACATCTACATACATATGGCCGATTTTTATATAAAAATCATGTATAACTTACCCACTTGCCAAAATATTGTTCTTACCTTTTATATGTGATAATTTCAATTGAGTTTATGGACAAATTACATACCTACAATCTCATCTATATTTCATTTGAGATTATCTTATTCAGCTGTAAATGAACAGAACAAGCTTCACGAAACAGATGTTCATCAGTCTTTATTAAAGAAACGATTTCATCCTCAATTTTCTTTAATATAATATTTAACAAAACTGGAACATCTAAAGTCCTTACAATTCAACATAAAGATATACAATTAGTGAAAAATACAATAATAACTTACATCTAAAAACAGAATATTGTTAAATACTCACAGATATATATATATATATATATATATATATATATATATAACCAATTGTTGGAAACTCTAGGTGACATGGCTCAGAATCGATCACAGTGGCGTAGGTGTATACACACTTTATCTTCCCTCAAACCTTCAGATTAAAATTGCTTCATAACTTCCTTCCTATACTATATCTTTATATACAACCTATCTTTTAAATATTACCACTATTAAACTAACTACTTATATGAACCCAGTGTTCATCTTGCTGTGATTAAAAGGCATGGCAACTTGGACCGATGCATATATGTGCCTGGTCCTACGTTGTAGCTGACTGATATATATATATATATATATATATATATATATATATATATTTCTCAGCTGATATAATCATTTTCAATTGTTGATCTTTTTATATTTTACAAAATTTGTTTTCGGTAACTATAGTAAATATTGATTAAACAAGATTGGTATGTAAAGTAAAATTAAACATTCCGCTATTGATTTTATTCAATTCACATTAAATCACTTCATCTCTCAATACATAACAGACAGTTATGACTAAATATAACATAATTTTATTTTTACTAATTTTTTTTTAACAAAGCAGCTTCTCATTTGTGACACATTATGAATTTATATTTTTATTGAATAATTATTTTTTAAAATTATTTCGAACCGAAATTTAGTTTCCATTTTTTAAAATAATAATGAAGATCAATTTATTTATTAATAACAGTAACCTGATTTTTCAGTTAACAGAAATTATTTTATTATTTTTTTAATATTTACAATTAATACTACTTAATAAAAAAACTAATCCATTTTATTTTAATTAAAACTGAAAAACAAATTTTTTTTATTCAAATAGGCAAAAAATTTAGTTGGTGAAGATACTGGTCGTGTAGATTTAATACGTCCAACTCAACCGGATCTTCCAAGTTCACCACGTTTATTGAATGCAACTAGTAAAAGTTTAACAGTTTCTTGGACACAAGGATTTAATGGTGGTCCAGAACAAACTTTCTTGGTAAGTATGTCAGTAGTCTATTCAAATCAGTTTTAAAAAGTTATATTTCGTTCAGATGATGATCTCTGATTGATAAATTTTTAAAAATGGTTTTTTGGAGGATAATTTTGTTATGAATTGACACCAGATGCAAAAATAATATGTAGTTAAAAAATACACGTCAGCTGATCCTCCCTCAACAACACCAATTTGGACATACTTTTGATAAAACATAGCTATTAGAGTGTTAGGAGGTAAGATAAATTTTTGTTTCATCGTTTAAACTATCAGTTACGGAATTCATAATGTTATTTCTGCCACATCATTTGTGTTCTCTGTTCGCTAAGTTTCAGTCGTACTATTTGGGGTTCGCTCATGCCTTTTCATGCTATATCAAAGAATTTTATTCACATTGCAATACAAATTGTAATGCATAACTCATTTCATCGTCACACAATCTAATATCTCAGGGGGTATTCATCTTAAAAGAGAACAATAGTCAGGTTTGGTCATAAAATCAGGTTTGGATAGGAATTGTGGATGTTGAAATTCTAATCAGTTGAACCCATTCAGTCATAAACACATGTTTCTTTGGATTATCAATTCTCTGACTAAACAAAATCTGCAACATATTCTAAAACTAAACACGTTCTAAAAACATGACTACCACTCTTTTGAAAGTATTGTAATGTAAACATGTTAGCAAAGTTACTTTGAACTGAAGAACGTATTACAAGTATTTATATAGATTAGATTGATGTGATTGTTGCTCTTAGTGTAACTGTCCAGGTCACTGTATATTGATATCCCGAAAACATTATCCGACAGAATTAAAAAATGTTGAAACTTACTTTTTGTTACTACTTAGCGACACGGAAAAATCACTCAAAACTATTGTCCGCTACGCTTTTTTAAATATTCTGTTTACAAAAGTTACCTACTCTTTATAATGTGTGGAAATGTTACTAGATTGTTTGAATTGTATAATCAGAAATATTTGACTTTCTTAATAATGGTAAAATAATAAACATAATCATAGTATACATAGTGGAGATTAGGTATAGTGACCTTCATTTTAAAATTTGATTCCAAAAATATATTAAGCATAATTTATAATTCCTTCATATGATTTATAGATTTTGTTTTAATCTATTCAGTTACAATTAAGAGTCAGGAAATAGAACAGGTTAAGCATAGTCAAAAAGTAACATAAACATTATAAGAATTATAGTCTATTACACTAAAACTAGTTTCCACTGTCTATACCTTTCACATTCTTGGATATTGAATATTTCTTACTCATCTACTTACTCACGCCTGTTACCCCTCGTCGAGCAGCATAGGCCGCATACCAGCATTCTCCATCCAACTCTGTAATGAGCCTTCCTTTCCAGTTCTTTCCAGTTACTATTTATCCTTTTCATATCTGCTTCCATTTCCCGGCGTAATGTATTCTTTGGCTTTCCTCTTTTCCGCTTCCCTTCATAATTCCAAGTTAGGGATTGCCTAATGATGCAGTTTGGTGATCTCCGCAATATATGTCCGATCCACTTCCAACGTCTTTTCCTAATTTCCTCTTCAGATGGAAGCTGGTTTATCCTCTCCCATAAAACGCTGTTGTTGATGGTATAAGGCTAGTGAATGTTGAGTATTTTGCATAGACAACCGTTTATAAATACTTGTACCATCTTTACAGTGGATGTAGCAGTTCTCGACGTTTCAGCTTCGTACAGTAGGACTGTCTTGACGTTGGTATTGAAGATTGTGAGTTTGCAGTTAGTTGACAGTTATTTGGAGTCCCACATGTTCTTCAATTGTAGGAATGCTGCCCTCACTTTGCCAATCCTCGTCTTTACATCTGCATCCGATCCTCCTTGTTTATCAATGATGCTTCCCAGGATATTGAATATACTTTTTTTGTTTTAATGTAGAATTTTGTGACTCAACTTCTATGATCTATCAGCAGTTCTGTTCATTGAACTGAACAATTCATAGATAAATATTACAAGATTTAGTTGATAATAGGAATAATATATTTGTAAAATCTCAGCGAATGAATTTTTTAAATTAAAAAATTTAAAAAATTCATTCGCTGAGATTTTACAAATATATTATTCCTATTTAATGTCTTACTTCAACTCGGCGCTCAAATACTGTGAAACTATTCGTTCTAATTTAGACGAGAGTTCTTATATTTAGTTGATAATATTTAAATTACAAAAAAAATCGAGTAGTTATAACCTTTTAAATTTTTTCTTTTGGGGATAACATAAACAGTTTTCTAAAGAATTAAACATTGTACTATTTATTAATATAACTAAGATCCAAAAGTTCTTCACTTATAGTACAGGAAAATTATTTACATAAAACTCACAACAATTAGATCACAATTCAAAGGGCTACACTAAATATGTTTAATACTTCCCATGTCTTATGAACACATAACGTTTCTTGATTGTACTTTAGTCTGTATTTAAGTAATAATCGCACTCAAAGTTTTCAACTTTTCTCAACCCACGGCTACCTACTGTACTGTTTACATATTGTAATTCGTCGTTTACTTCATTGGTTATACAAAAACACTTTAATTTCTACCACAACTAACCTATCTACACTTCTCCAGACATTGCTGCCAATTTATCCATAAGAACAGTTTCAGACCAACCCAAACAAATACCCAGTAATAATGTTTGTAGTATCTCTTAGCTTCAACAAAAATTCTGTGAGCTCTTGATAATGAATAAGATAATTCATATTTTCATTAGTAAATTAAAGTATGAATTGTATTATTGACTGCTAAATGTTTTTCAGAGAAGTTATTTACTCAAAATATGTCTATATCTTGTCATTTATTATCACAACGAACTAAATTTTTAAAATAATAACACTATTAATTTTGAATGGAAGATACTTTGTTGACGTCAAGAGGATGCCTTTCACTTATATGTCTGCTTCACTATCCTCTCAAACATTCAATTACGAATTATGTAATAATAATATCCCATTTAGCGGTAGTGAAATAGTCATTATTGATGCCATTTTATTGTATTTATGGAATTTTGTAAACTGATTAGTATTGTTAGCAATAACTACTGAACTGAGACTCAGTAATTCAATCGTGCCATTATGATACTTGTAGAGCCTGCTTCTGAATTGACCGCAATTTCAAGTACGTATACCTGAAAAGCCATAAACTAAAATGTATAATTTGTCCAGTTTAAGCTAGTTTCTAATGGCTCTTTAAGCTGTTTCCGTGAGTGAATAAATCTCAACTAACCATCTTTTTAAATAGTAAGAAATATCATGTATTTCACCATTCGATTTCTCAGTTACTGATAGCAAAATGATTAATTATTCATGTATCCATAAGAACATATACAAGGGTAGACTTATTGTCATCATTTTTTATTATTTTCTCATTCAGTTACATTGGCACCCAAATGAAGACCCAGATCACCATGATAAAGTCAATATTAAAGAAGATTTAGACAATGAAGTATTAACCTACAGTATCACTGGTAAATTTGGAGTAAATTTTTACAACTTTATTTTCCTAAAATTGTTAGTCAGAAGTGGTGACAGAAAAAACTATTTTTCTTACTGTGTACATTATTTGATTAAAAACAACTATCAAGAAATCTGTTATCTAAATAATAAGTTTACTGAATGTCATTCGAAGTAAAGGCACTAAACAGTTCAACGTAACTGTGAATCCACTTCGTAGTTGGACAATGTGATGCATAGATCTGAATGTCAGTTACCAAAAAAAATAGAAGCATTAATCAGTAAATGCAGCATAAATTTTAGCATCGTAATCAAACAACACATGACATTTATCTCAAAACCATGAAAATAAAAGATTAAACTTCGAATTAGCTTTTCTGAATGGGCTTTAATTAGTTCTAATAGATGAATTTTGTTTAAAAAAACAGAAAAAAACTAAATCCTAGCAAATAAATTATGGAATAAAAACGTTTCAGGAGGATTATTATGAATAAGTCAAACATGAATTTAACACGGAATAGAAGAAAAATGAAGGATTCCATGATAAGTTAGATTTTTATTCATCTTCACTTATTATTGTCGTATACAAAATCCAATCAGCGAAACCAAAACTATGATTCGAGTTCCAACACCTGATCATTGTGACAGAACAGGTTCTGTAAATCTTACAAACTATAGTGAAATTCTTTGACTGGTCATTTATTCTCCAAAATATTCTCTTTATGTATAAAGTTACTTAGATTATTTATGAGTTTAGCAATAAAGTAGCCCCTACATACAATGAAATGTTAGTTGATGAATTACTATGTATAAAATGGTTTCATGTAAGCTATCTTGTAGTAGATGTTAATCACTTATATAGACCATTAAAATATATAATTTGACAAAACTAAACTATTGAGTGATGGTTACGGGCAATAAACGAGAAATATTAAACCCGAGTTTCGTGTTGTTCAGCACTTCTCAACAAGATGAACCCGTAGTCTTGAGATAACTAATACTTCTTCATGGATTCAATCAGCGCTAAAACTAACTTAATATCTTTATTGTATGGTATGTTATGGAAATCTTGATTTTCGGACTTATAATTAACAAATATTTTAACACTAGACGATCAGTAAACTTTACCAAACGTTCGCCTGCTACAAACGTTCTTTGTATATTTTAAAATTTGACCGATGACTATTCCTTTCTTATCTTCTGTTGCAAGATGTATAGTAGTAAGCGTAATAATTTAGTGTTTGTTCAAACATTCTAAAAGTACGTTTTCCAACAAAATTTAATTAGTTTCTTACAACACGAGCGTTCCCATTTTTTATTATTATTGAGGATCATAAATAAAATAACTTTTTACGAATATACTTTAGTATTATAATATCGAAATGTATGAATAAGAGAAAGGCTCGAGTGCTAAGTGATGTTCTAAAGGTATCACATAGCTATCCTCTAGAAAAATAACATTTAATCTCATTTATATTTTGCCTAATTTGCAGTTTACAAATTTTTAAAACTTATCAGTTCGTTTTATATGAGCAAACAATATAGACTGGTAGGTTCTGGGTTCGAATCTAGCGAGGTGAGGTCGTGGATGCGCACTGCTGAGGAGTCCCATAATAGGACGAAACGGCCGTCCAGTCCTTCCAGGTTTTCCTTGGTGGTCTAGCTTCAATTGACTCGCGCTTTCAATATAGATTATTTATTTGAGATGTAAAACAAGAGATCACAATACTACATTTACTTATTGCCCGAATGATGTAATCAAAATTATGATGTAAATATTCTATTAAAACAATTGTTGAGAGAGTTTTTTGATTTTTAAAAATCAATAAAACTTACGAAATGTTGGGTAATGAAGAAAGTTGTCATTCATATACTACAGCAAAGAGACTTATAACTACTTATAACAGAAATTTTTGTCACTTGTCAATATTTCTATAAAATCTTATATGAATTCTAGACAGGTTCTTTCTAGAAAAACATAACTAACACTTAGTTAGAATCTGAGATATTTTAGTGTACAATACTATTTCTTCATTCATTTCGCTAATCACTGTGTTCTATTTATTTTTTCTACCTTGCATTCAATAGGCCTTCAAAAAGCTACAACATATCGTGTGTCAGTCAGTGCTTATAATACATTAACTTCTACAACATCGTTTACACCCTACCTTTTGGCTTCCACAACTGGTAAGGTATTTTGTATGTTATCTTTACGAAAAAAGTAGTTACCTAACGAGATCACTTTATTTTATTAAATATCATTCCATTTTCATTGGTCGCTATCATAGTTTATGGCTTATAAAGACATTAGAGAATATAGCATTCAGTTGATAGACATAAACTAGTTTTGACCATATAATTGTTTTGTGCTTTGCAATTAAAACATATATCAGTTCAAACATTTTTTTCCAAAAGAACAAAAAAACTCAGAAGTCATGACTTAGTTTTCCTTCTTTATTAAGAAATTCTAAATCTGTAATTGTATTTTCTTTTATAAATCTTGAATCTCATTTAGTCAGTCACAACGTAGAACTTTGTGCGTACATACATCAGCTCGAGTTGTCATACTACATTAGCACAGAGATCCAGTTGTCGATTTAAATCCCATAGTGGTAGAAGTAGTAAAAGTATAAGCGGTAATTGGAAAGACTAGGGTTTGAAGATGTTGAATCTACAATTTATTTGTTTATCAGTCAACTAGATATATTTATTTTACACCTTTGTACAGTGAAATATTTGAATGGAAACATCATCTACTGGTTTGTAAACACTTTCTTAATTGATTAACTTGATTTTACTGAAATATGATCATACACTCAGGTGAAATTATATATCTGAGTAGAACATAAGAATATTTGTCTAAAAATGTAAACATCCATACATTAATACATTTAAAGTTTTAATTTGTAAACAATTAAAGAGAGAATCGAGTCATCATATGAATTAGGTAAAATCTTGTTAAATTTAAAACAATTAATCCCTTTGATAAATTTCGATAATGCAATGAGAAGACCTCATTATGTGTTCAAAAACGATTTGTTCTTATCCTTAACCTACCATGGTAATATTGATTTATTATCCAGAGTGGTCGTCACATTGATTTTGCATACTTTATTTTCTTTCATTATATGTGAAAAAATTATATTTGAAATAGTCTCAGCGATTGAAATATAAATAATTCCAACGTTTCGTCCAGCTAACTTGTCTGGACTTCTTCAGGGAAATAATCAAAATAATCAAAGACATATATAGTGTTTTTTAACAATCATATCAAAATCTCTAATACTTTTTAATCCAATCATATTTGGATTGGCGGCCTGTTTAAACATCTAGGCTACCTAATCCTGTCATCTAGATATTTCAACAAGTTATCTAATTTCGTTTGTTTTAATACATCATTATGCCTATTAATCGTACAACCTATTCAGGTGCGTTTCTGAAAAGTGTAAGACCTTTCGCTGTAAAAGTTACAGAATACCTATTCAGAGATATCGTGGTTGCTCGCAATATGCAGCGAGAAGAATGTACATTATCCAGATGTCGATTGACTTGGCTGCTAAGTTCTAACTGGCGATCACTCAATATTTATCGTCAGGAAGGACGAAGAAGTAAGAAACGGAATCTTGTTGAAGTACTTTATGCTGAGAATTCTATATTGTACCAAAAATATAATATTGAATAAAGCCAATAATAATAATAATATAATAATAATAATGTCGAAGTTCTTGTAAACAGAATAAAATGAGTCAGTTGAATGAGAATCAAGTGAAAAGTTCAACGATGTGAATTAAACGAGACTGCATGAATTGTGTGTATGTATGTATGTGTAAGATGAGTTATTAATGAACGATATTCAGTGTTGATATGCTTCTATGTGAAGTAAAAATAGGAATAAAAGTGCAAAATGAAGGTTGAAAAAGTTTTTCTCCTTTCTGAATCTTCGAAATTGCAAATAAAATGAGAATCGTCAAGTACATAATTGTAATGTTAAACATAACTCATATTGATTTCAGTCATAATAACGATTCATGTGAAATAAACAGGTTGAATAAAAGAAAAGGTCAAATTACTTGTTGATGAATATTTCCCAAGTGGTAGCTAGCTGAATACCATCCTTTCTGTTTAGGCTGTTCTTATTCGCCCATATATATAGCGCTTCTGCTGTCAATCTTTCTTTATGAGTGTTGAAACCTTTCTGAAGTATTTTGGCCCCTTCAAAATTAATCATGTGTCCCGTTTCCAACGCATGTAACGCTATTGCAGACTTATTCTCAAGTTTCTTTAAGTCAACCGAGGTTTTGTCAACTTTTTTAAACACTGTTTGTGTTCCTTCAACCTTACCTTCAATTGTCTGGATGTTTCTCCAATATAAGCCGCATTACAATCATGACAATTGATCTCATAGACAATATTTTGTTGTTCTTCCTTTGGTAACCTATCCTTAACCTTCACCAATGACGATCTTATAGTGTCACATGTTCTAAAATACACTCTTATATCATGTTTGTTTAAAATCCGTTTGATTTTTTCCGATGTTTCGTTACGGTATGGCATGACTACAGTGGACTTCCAATCTTTCTGTACATGTTGTAGTTTAGCTTTTCTTTCCTTTCTAACAATCTTCTTTAAAAACTCTTTTGGGTAGTTGTTATCCATAAGTGTAGCTAAAATCCTATTCAATTCATATTGTTGGTCTTCTTTATCTGTAACAAGCTTCAGACTTCTGTCAATTAAATTTTTAACAACTGTGACTTTCGTACATAAAGCATGCGCCGAATCAAAATCTAAATATCTATCTGAATGTGTAGATTTTTTGAAAACATTTATTTTCAACTTCCTATTATTAAGTCTTCGTTCAACCATACAGTCGAGAAATGCCAGTTTGTGGTCATCAGACTCTATTTCCTTCGTTAGATTAATTTGTTCCGAAATGTTGTTAACATTTGCAAACAATTCTTCCATATAGTCCTATTTAATGATAACAAAAATGTCATCTACATACCGTAGCCAGACCTTTGGTGGACAAACACTTCTTGCGATTGCACTAGTTTCTAGTGAATGCATGAATAAATTCGCAACAATCGGAGAAACTGGTGAACCCATAGCTATACCTTCTTTTTGTCTGTATAGATCTCCTCGAAATATGAATAAGGTGGACCTTAAACATAGTTCCAAACAATTGATAAACTCAGATTCGGCGCATGCTTTATGTACGAAAGTCACAGTTGTTAAAAATTTAATTGACAGAAGTCTGAAGCTTGTTACAGATAAAGAAGACCAACAATATGAATTGAATAGGATTTTAGCTACACTTATGGATAACAACTACCCAAAAGAGTTTTTAAAGAAGATTGTTAGAAAGGAAAGAAAAGCTAAACTACAACATGTACAGAAAGATTGGAAGTCCACTGTAGTCATGCCATACCGTAACGAAACATCGGAAAAAATCAAACGGATTTTAAACAAACATGATATAAGAGTGTATTTTAGAACATGTGACACTATAAGATCGTCATTGGTGAAGGTTAAGGATAGGTTACCAAAGGAAGAACAACAAAATATTGTCTATGAGATCAATTGTCATGATTGTAATGCGGCTTATATTGGAGAAACATCCAGACAATTGAAGGTAAGGTTGAAGGAACACAAACAGTGTTTAAAAAAGTTGACAAAACCTCGGTTGACTTAAAGAAACTTGAGAATAAGTCTGCAATAGCGTTACATGCGTTGGAAACGGGACACATGATTAATTTTGAAGGGGCCAAAATACTTCAGAAAGGTTTCAACACTCATAAAGAAAGATTGACAGCAGAAGCGCTATATATATGGGCGAATAAGAACAGCCTAAACAGAAAGGATGGTATTCAGCTAGCTACCACTTGGGAAATATTCATCAACAAGTAATTTGACCTTTTCTTTTATTCAACCTGTTTATTTCACATGAATCGTTATTATGACTGAAATCAATATGAGTTATGTTTAACATTACAATTATGTACTTGACGATTCTCATTTTATTTGCAATTTCGAAGATTCAGAAAGGAGAAAAACTTTTTCAACCTTCATTTTGCACTTTTATTCCTATTTTTACTTCACATAGAAGCATATCAACACTGAATATCGTTCATTAATAACTCATCTTACACATACATACATACACACAATTCATGCAGTCTCGTTTAATTCACATCGTTGAACTTTTCACTTGATTCTCATTCAACTGACTCATTTTATTCTGTTTACAAGAACTTCGACATTATTATTATTATATTATTATTATTATTGGCTTTATTCAATATTATATTTTTGGTACAATATAGAATTCTCAGTATAAAGTACTTCAACAAGATTCCGTTTCTTACTTCTTCGTCCTTCCTGACGATAAATATTGAGTGATCGCCAGTTAGAACTTAGCAGCCAAGTCAATCGACATCTGGATAATGTACATTCTTCTCGTTGCATATTGCGAGCAACCACGATATCTCTGAATAGGTATTCTGTAACTTTTACAGCGAAAGGTCTTACACTTTTCAGAAACGCACCTGAATAGGTTGTACGATTAATAGGCATAATGATGTATTAAAACAAACGAAATTAGATAACTTGTTGAAATATCTAGATGACAGGATTAGGTAGCCTAGATGTTTAAACAGGCCGCCAATCCAAATATGATTGGATTAAAAAGTATTAGAGATTTTGATATGATTGTTAAAAAACACTATATATGTCTTTGATTATTTTGATTATTTCCCTGAAGAAGTCCAGACAAGTTAGCTGGACGAAACGTTGGAATTATTTATATTTCAATCGCTGAGACTATTTCAAATATAATTTTTTCACATATAATGAAAGAAAATAAAGTATGCAAAATCAATGTGACGACCACTCTGGATAATAAATCAATATTACCATGGTAGGTTAAGGATAAGAACAAATCGTTTTTGAACACATAATGAGGTCTTCTCATTGCATTATCGAAATTTATCAAAGGGATTAATTGTTTTAAATTTAACAAGATTTTACCTAATTCATATGATGACTCGATTCTCTCTTTAATTGTTTACAAATTAAAACTTTAAATGTATTAATGTATGGATGTTTACATTTTTAGACAAATATTCTTATGTTCTACTCAGATATATAATTTCACCTGAGTGTATGATCATATTTCAGTAAAATCAAGTTAATCAATTAAGAAAGTGTTTACAAACCAGTAGATGATGTTTCCATTCAAATATTTCACTGTACAAAGGTGTAAAATAAATATATCTAGTTGACTGATAAACAAATAAATTGTAGATTCAACATCTTCAAACCCTAGTCTTTCCAATTACCGCTTATACTTTTACTACTTCTACCACTATGGGATTTAAATCGACAACTGGATCTCTGTGCTAATGTAGTATGACAACTCGAGCTGATGTATGTACGCACAAAGTTCTACGTTGTGACTGACTAAATGAGATTCAAGATTTATAAAAGAAAATACAATTACAAATGTCACAATAATTTGATGATGTTATATCTCATCAAAAAAATAAGGTTCACTCATAGTCAATTGTACATAGTGTCAAAATCAGTAGCCATTTCTAACCTCTACTTGAATATGTTATCATTTGTAATATTCAAAAAATCCAATCATTACTACTTTCAGATCTGCATGTGCTTTTGGCACGTGCTAAAAAATCCATTTTAAACTGTTGAAATGATCAAAGTATTAATTACTTAATTTCAGTATTAGATGGTTAACTTATTCTTTCCTAATTAAAAACAACTATTGATAACAATCTAAGAAGCATTTATTCTAGATGCTGCTGTTTCTGATTTATTTTCATGTCTCATTTGAGTTTCAAACTTTAAAAGAAACTTCTACAGAGAAGTCTGGATAAAGAATTAAATGTTAGCGACAATAGCTAATGAGTGGTGTATAATTTAAAAATCTGGTATACTGCACAACTCTTATCATGTCAAATATTATAGAAACATTTCTTTCTTTTGTACTAGTTGAAAAAACATGAATTATAAAGCCGACCAAAAACATCGATGCATACTCAGGTGGAAAAGGAAATTTATAATGAGACAGGCTGACTGTTTTTATAGAACAGATTAGTAAAAACTATTACCAAGTCTGAAATAATAATGATTTACCAAACGCTGAGTAAATTAAATGAATGTTAGTTACTCAGTGTAGATTATGTTTTGGATTGAAATTAAACACTCCAATACGCTTATAAAGTATTGTAGGTAACAGTGCTAAGATTGGACTTGATAATTTCAGATAAATTGAGTATTAGGTAGAAAGTTAAAGATAAATATATTTTTGTGATGTCCCAATAAGTGCAAAACTATATTTCTGAGATTTCGTAACTTAATGTAAGTCACCTTTTCAGAGTGAATAAATAACCGAAATAAATTAACACAAGTTTAAGTGGTTCAAAGGAAACAGTGCAGAATAATTTTAGTACAACCAAAATCACAATATATCTGAACATGTCAATATTAAGTAATTTTGATCAAAGTGATTCTGTATTAATTGGTGCGTCAAAAGGTGGGTATAGAAAGTGTTTTTTTAATATGAAGTAGTGGGGTTGAAATTGAGTGTGTAGATTATGTGGAAAATAAATAAGGTCAGATAGGGTTCTTTGGATGAACAGTTCAGGTTGAACGAATAGTCAGGCTTTCTTTCTACTACTTGGAACACCACAAAAATTATATTTATTGCTTAGAACGTCTCTTCACCTAACGTTAGCATATATAACAAAAAGTAGAAATGTATTTAATTATAATTTAATACGTATACAACAAATAAATGATTTGTAAAAGATTATTTGAATGAAAAAGCTGAACACTGGAAATCACCAGTATACAGAAAATCTGTACTAAAGTCTAACCAATTCAAAATCAAGTTTTAACGTATGTTGATATAATAAGTGTTTACTTGAAACGTCTATCGCCTATCTTTTTTTTCTTATATTTTCTTATTGACTGTATTGGTAACAGTTGTACCCTGAAGATTTGTTCTATAAAATAAATAGATCAATATAGAAATTCTCTTGGGGAATGTAACTCAATGTAAAATATACTGTCTCATTCAAGCAAAAAAATATCCAAAAGAATAGATTTATCCATATAATATTTCTTTGAAGACAAAATAATTCGTAATGATTCACGCATCAGTGATTGTGTGATTAGCATTATTCATATGTTTAAATAGGAAATCGTTTAGTTTGTATGAGTACTGTAAATTGTTTAGCATGAATGAAAGAGAACTGACGACTTTAGGAGGTCTAACATTCATATTCATTCAAGAATAAAATATGGAGAGATAAATGACATCTTGTCAATAAGAATATAATATCAAGATATGATAAGATTTTAAGATATTTGATCACAATTTATAACAAAGCTTTGTGTATTCTTTTAATGATTTAAAAATTCATAAACACTTTTAATTAAAAAACCTTACTGTAGCATTTGACTCGCTGTCAGGAGAAGAAGCAATGAGGGATGAAGCCAAAGCCAAATCATTAAAAAACATTCAAAGAGGACATTGGGATTCAAGATGGCGGTTAAATTCTAAGAACTCTGAAAACTCGATAAATCCAGATCCTCAAAGACGATCAGTTCGATCTGGTCATGAATTAAATTCTCTGGATGATAATGCATTTGTGATTATAATTGCAGTCTCTGTATTCGGATCATTTATTTTAATAGCGAATTTATTGGTAGTATTATTATTTACACGATACAAGCGCCAAAAGATGAAGCAGGGCGAACGTAAACCATCTGGTGAGGAGTTGGAGATTGCATTATATCTCATTGAATGAATTTTTTCTTTAAACCCCATACATCCTCTTTGTCACTATTTGATTTGAATAATTTTCTATGATTTACATATCTTGACACGGTTAGATTTCAGTTTTATATAATTTTCATCCCGTTATTTTTGGTTGCCTTTTTTAACTAAATTCACCTGTAATAGATAAAAAACAAGTTGTTTGCTTCACTAACTAAATTATGAAGTAAAATTCACCCATATATATTAGCTAAATGATAAATATGGGTTACTATCATGTCAATCAGATTTTCTGCAGCATATTAAAAGTCCTGAATTTATGCGATTGTCTAGCAATGTCAATATCTCAAACTAAATTAATCAGTTTCTATCTGTATTGGAGCTTAGTAAATGGGTTTGTCAATTGTACTAGTATGCATAAGCTGAATTTAGTGATAATTTTGGAACTGTAGTAATTACTTTTTCAGTACTTAGAGTAAATAGTGGTGTGATTAAGATTCAGTAAATACATCAACACGCCAATGTGGTTATATCCTTTCGGATCCCATAATATTCCATAAACTGATTATTCACTACTGATTCGCAATGCTAGGAAGATATATTTCGGAAGAATTTTCAAATGGATTTTGCTAAAATAAATCAAGCTATATAAATCGTAATTACGTAAACAGCTCGATGATGGGTCAAAAAGGTTTATTAGGATAAAAGATCAAGTGGCTTATCACCTAGTTATTCATTTGTTTGAAAACAATTAGCATAGTCATTTAAACAGCATTTCCAAAGCTATTTGATGATTACTAAGAATGAGGGCTTGTGGAGATTGTAGTGATTTTAGTAAATAAATTCATGAGTCAATCTGAGCTAGACCATCATTGAAAACCTGGGAGCACTGGACGACCATTTCGTTCTAGTGCAAGACTACTCAGCAATTCGCATCCACGGTCCCACATGCAGGACTCGAACCCAGTACCTTCAATCTCGCATCCAACGGTATTAATTTCTAACTTCAATCGATTAATGATCTTGCGCAACTAATGCGCTCACTGATGACTGGCTTCAAGATAGACTTCTTGGAGTTCTAGTGAAAAGCGCTTGAGATTGGAGGTACTGGGTTCGAGTCCTGCATGTGGGACCGTGGATGCGTATTGTTGAGGAGTCTCGTACTAGGACGAAATGGTCATCCAGTGCTCCCAGGTTTTCAATGATGGTCTTGCTTAGGTCAACTCATGAATTCAACTACGGAGATTATATAAGAGCCTTCTATCTAATATATTAGTAATGCATGATTGTAGTCGCAACAGAAAACATCTAAAATCAAGATATCTTACCCATACACATTATTCTGCTTCGATTCTTATTCTTACTTTACAAAGACTATTAAAGGAAGTCAATTTTAGGGAATTTTCAGTTTATTAAATCAATTAACGTTTAGTCAGAATGCCACAGTAACTGTTTTGCAGTTAAAATCAACTTAAATAACACAAAAGATTACAATTATTGAAGTAAATAATTTTATTATTTTAAACAAGATATTACAAAGGCTAAATTTACTGTATCCTGATCATCATGTTAGTCAATCAGTCTAAGTAATTTATTGTAAAAAGTTATAAGTAATGATAGCAAGTTTTTGTACTCGTCGGAGTCAGAATAGGATTAAGACATACTCCAACGATAAATTAAGTGATTGAATGACTTCACATAGAATATGAACAGACATGAAAAAATTAACTGTAAGGCAGTGTGAAGTATGTATGAAGCATATTTGTTTATTGAAAAATAATTTACTTTATCGTCACGTATATTATTATAGAATTTATCCATTTTTTCAGCTGCGGGGGACCTCATACAAATATACCCGGTGGAAAATGGTTTTTCAGAAATACACACAAATGCACAGAATAGTTTTCCGATGTATCCAGATGATATGCGTTTAAATGCCAGTTACATGTTGCAATCAGCACCTAATGACCAGGTAACCAATGAGCTTATAAATGAAATATACTACTTAGATACATTTTGCAACACCTGGATAAACATTACTTTAGTGTTTTATAACGATAATTTACCAGATTATTTACGGAAATGACTCATGAACGGACAATAACCTTTTGGTACTATCAATCATTGGTTATCTTTCATGGTTTGTGAATAAACCGAATTAATATACAAAGAACCAATAAAACCACTTCATTATAACACTGATCATGTACTTTAATGATAAACTCAAAATCTGAGAAAAAAATTCACTGTTTTTAACATTTAAAATCTAGCCCTATATGACGAAAATTAACTGTTACCAATATCAATAGTTGTTCTGTTTTTTTATACTTTCTAATATGTATTAAGATACTTTCGACTGAATACTGAAGTAACTAAGTTAACGGATACGCTTGATTTTATTCTCAATTTACTTAACATTACGTAACATTTTATGAAATCATTTTATTTGTAAACATTTACTGAAGTGTTTAGTTCAGATAAGCTAATATTACCATGACTGAAGTAAACTAATATCTGAAAAACTAGTGAAACTATTGCCGATTTGAGTATTTGTTTAATGTAAACACGAAAATATCCTGTACAGGTCAAAGATTTAAATAATAATATTCAATGGTTACGAATCGAAAATTCAAAAGATGATTTTTGCATTTATCATTGTCAATATTGACAATAATGTAATGACAGTTACTGGGAAATACTATTAGATAATATGAAAGTCTAAACATTTTAAACATGTATAACCAAAAAGAAGTAACTAACTGAAACACTGTAAAATTGATAAATAAATTTGGTTAAGTGATGTCGACTTATTATGAAACGATTCAGAAAAGAAAATTCCGTCAAAAAGTAACCTCCTCAAATATAATTTGTACCAAAATATAAAAATGTTTTCTTGTTAACGTAAAATTAGTTATTCCTCTAACCTGATAATTTCTAACACAAATATCCGTTATGGAGACAACTTTAAAAAACAGCTCTAAAATTAATTGAATCTACCAAGTTATACAGTTATTTACTTGTTACAGTTCCGTTACACATTTTTGAGTCGTTTTCTAAATTATTTCTACACTAGTAAATATAACCAGCGGTCAGACATATTCCAAATGTCTCATTGCTCACAGTTCTTTTAAACCAATTGATCTATTCACACTCTAAGACACAAGTTTAAGTAAACTTATATATATTATGCCACGTGGTTTTATGGTATAAAATAGTTTTTCTAAATCCTCTAGAACTCTACTCACACCCAACCCTTATGTTCTACGATGTTCTAAGGAAATGTTCCCAAATATTTACATGTATAGTAGCGTGAGCTCTCTTGCAATTGATTATCGCAGATTTTTGCATAACAATTTTATGTCAGAATTATGCATAGTCGTGAACATAAAAAAAACGGATAAAGAAAGATTTTATGTTATGCTATTAAGTTTTCAACGAAACGTTATTGAGGAAGTGCGAAGCTTAAATATAATGTTGTCAAATAACTTACCAGGTTCGTAAATTCTACATCTATATATAAGTTTATAATTAACTTTCTACATGTTGCAAGACAATACTTTTCTATCTCAAATCCATAGTTTCATATCACGTGAGCTATTACTTGGTAAAACAAATATTGAAAAGATACGTTCATAATTAAGTTTAATAATTATGCATCGTAAAATTTAAAGGATACATAAATTATTTCATGGTAAACCTTTGATGTTAGTTCAGTTAATCCATTTTCTCTGAAGAATGCGTATATACTAATATAACTGGTTTCAGTAGAAGTCACCATTAAGAAGACTTTTTTCTAATTGAATTTACTTGAAAAACAAGATTTGTTAGAGTTTATGAAGCAAAATCAATCGGTTATCATTTCCTCTTTAGTAATCATTCTGAGTTGTAACATTTTGAATGTACCCAAAGAGGTAAACTCATCATCCTTACTTCTTCATGAAGACTTATTGCTACTCTTTTATCTAACTCTTATTGTGCTGTGGGCTACTTATGTATGTAGTATGCAGCAGCAATAGAAAGTGGAATGATTACCAGCAGAAGATTGAATTAAAGAGAAGAAGAAAGGGAACAGAGAGTAATTGGAATGACAACAAAGTTGGAAGAATCATGAAGTATGTAAAGGACAACTGAAAGTAGATGTACAAATAATGTCTATAATGTATGATTTTCATATTTTGCAAAAGCACTATGTGATTATACATGAGACGATAAATAGATTTACCGTACCTCAATCCTCGCTCATTACATTCTCACAATATAAATAAGTTATTCATTGTTTTCCATTTTCGGTAAAACAAACAAAAATACTTTGAACAAGTCAAATAGAGTATAGAAATCAGTCAGTTTCTTTCTACTTAGCAAGTATTTTTTAGTTTTAAACTTGATTTAACATTATCTGAAATCATCGACTAAACTATCATACAAATCTTAATGGTGAAAAGGAAACCATCTGTTATTAAATTTATCGACTAAAAAAATTAATCAACGTTTATGGACAGGAATGATCTCATGTGTAAAAAGGAAAGATTTTTAATGCCAAGTACTTTAATGTAGACTAAATAGCTGCTCTATTTTAAAACAGAGATATTTTAATTCTAAGGTACTTTGTAAGAATAAATTTTGCCTTGATATTGTCCTTCGGAATATTTTAAGTTATGTTAAAATCACTGATAACAGTATTTTGTGTAACGAAGTATTCTAACCGGTTATCTGATGAGATGAAAATAAAAGTAAGTGTTAATTATTTTCATGAACATTCGTAATCTTTTGTCAATGTTATCATTACCTACCTTTAGTTTTCGCCCTTTCAAAACGGATGGGAACAAATACCTTTTAATATTTGCCCAGATCAAAATTCATCTATTATAAGAGGAAATCAAATATTTTCAAGCTCACCTCACTCAAGCATGAATGCAATGAACATGCAAAATTTCAACTCTCCAAATCATATAGAATTTACTAATCGACCTTCTAGTGATATATCTATTCAACCATCATCTGTTTTAATAAATAATGCCGACCAAACTGCAGTGGCTTATTTAAATCAAGATAATGGAACAGTAGAAGCGATTCAAAATATTCAAAATTATCATGACTGTTCAGAATTTATGCATCCAGTATTTCCCAATAGTTGTTCGCCTCTGAATTACGATACAGAAAACAATCTGAGAAATATAGAGCTCCCTACGCCTACTCACAGACGGCTTGTTACTATAGGTAGGACCTTGACCGAAAAAAGTAACAGAACTAGGTCACCACATTCTGGAGCAGCTTCAAGTGTTTCCACCATCAGGTCGAATGGACAAGGAAATAATAATAGTTTAGAAAGAAGCCTATCAACTTTTCAACGATCTCATCATTCGAACTTGCTGGGTGATTACAGACATCTTGGTGGTGGCTTGACGTTACCTAACGGAGGCTTAGGATTAAATATTATCAGTCAGAGTCCCCATCAGAACGGACAATTGTTTATATCAAACACAAGAACTTCAGGAAACTGGATTCAAAATGGAATGACTACAAGCTTTCATGGAGGTAATGCTCCGTCATGGAAGCATTATGTCAATCCTCATGGAAGCGGTAAGTTTATTTTTAAGTATTCCAATGAAATATTAACGTGCTGTATCTCCGTAAAAAGTTGTCGAGAGTTTAGATAACTTGTGTACAATGTAACATAAATGTTTAACAACATCGTAGTGCAAAACGAGCTATTCTCAAAATAGCCACAAAAAGTAATAGATTTGAATTGCGCAAAACCTTAATTAAAAGATTAAACCTGAATTTCTGACTTTTAACTTGGTTACATTCCGAGTTCCTGGTACGAACTCACTTAATCTTATCAGTATCATAATTAGCAAAGAAACAAACAGATAATACCCTACTACTAAGAACATTTCAATTATATCTATAGTTAATATCCTAGGTATACAAATAACCTCGAAGTTGATATTTAATCGGTGAGTAGATCGAATGCGGTACGAAATAAGTTAATAATATTTCCTTATATGGTAGGCAAGAAACTATCAGTATTACTCAACAAGAGTCAATTAAAATCATATATGAAGATACACTAGTTTAATTTTACTTAGGAAAAAAGAAATTATTATATAATTTATTATCAGGCCATATGTTAATGGAATTGAAGTTTCATGATCGTTTAGGCTTTGCTTATTGGTTCCAAATAGATGAGCAACTTTCATTATTACCATCTAACACTTGAAAGTATCAGTGTCTCAATACCATAAGTTAGGATTGTATCTGAATAGAGGAAAATCAAGATTTATGCGATATATAAGGTCATAACTAATTATTCATCAAAAATAATGTTCAGATAAACAAAATTAAAATATACATTTCGATCAAAATTCAAGTCTAGATAAATTAATTATATTTTGAATATGATTTGTTAAAAAAAACTCTTACCTTTTACAAAATCTATTAATTTTAGATGAATACACAGCATCAGGACAACAAATAGCAAGAAATTCATACAATTCCTTTGGACAACAATCTGTATCACATCTCACGAACAGTTTTGAATTGCCCGATGGTCATATTCTTAACAGCCGACAGTATGCACATGCCAACAAGGTTAGCACATTTAACTGAACAATTCAATTTTTCCCATATACCTATAAGACAATTACTTAAGAAAATATGAATTGACATACCAGTTCACTTTCGGAAAGACATTTTTTGAAAGTAAAGATGTCCTAGACTCTAAGTTGGTGCAATAAAGCATAGTGACAAGATTTAAGACTAGGCATATGTCGTCTTGTTAATATTTAGACCTTGAAGAGGAACAAACGAACTAAGTAAAAATAATTAATTTTACATGTGTATAACAGAAGCGAAGTTGCTTCTACTTCAGGTGAAATACTTATTTCCTAAAAAGAAAGCGTAACAAGAAGTTCAATGGTCTTCAAATGCCCATTTTTAATGAAGTGTGAAAAACAACAACCTGGTGAAACATGAATCTGATTGAGTAAAAACGAAGAATATTATGAAAAAACACTTTGAAATACTATTTTACTCTACATACGAACTAATCTCCATCTCTTTTTTATATACCCTAAAATTAACTAATTTTCCATCATTAAAGTAGCTGCATGGTTATCTATACAAAAACCCTTGTATTCAAGCAAAAAATTCATTCATGAGATCGGTACAAAATCATATATTTCAATCAAGGCTTAATTGAAGCTTTATGCATCATCTGACTTATCCATGTTAATACTCGTGGTGCGTAGGTCGCTAAACAGAATTCTTCAACCAACTGTATAATGGTCAATCCTTTCCAGCTATTTCCAAGTGCTAATGATTCGGCCTCCGCCTTCCAAAGAAATGTATTTCTTGGCCTTCCTCTTTTCCGCTTCCCTTCACAATTCCAAGTTAAGGGTTGCCTCGTGATGCAGTTTGGTGATTTCCGAAATGTATATCCCATCCACCTCCATCGTCTTTCCTAATTTCCTCTTCAGCTCGCAGCTGGTTTATTCTCTCCCCCAGAAGGTTGTTGCTGACGGTATCCGGTCAACGGACATTGAGTATCTTGCGTGGACAATGGTTTATAAATACTTGTACATTTTGATGATGGTTGTGGTAGTTCTCCAGGTTTCAACTCCGTACAATCGAACTCTCTTGAAGTTAGTAGTGAAAATTCTGACTTTGATACTGATTGACAGTTGTTTTGAGTCTCATATATTCTTCAACTGTAGGGACGTTACCCATCTTCGCCAATCCCTACCTTCACATCTGCATCAGATCCTTCTAGTTTATCGATGATGCTGACCAGGTACGTGAAACTTGCCACCTCATCCAGAGTTTCTCCATTAAATTTGATTAGGTTTGTGCTCTCCATTGCTTCTTCCTTTGTTTGTGTTAAGGCCTATTGCTGGGCAGGCTACTGCTACACTGGTTGTTTTGACCTGCATTTGTTGGTGTATATGGGATAGAAGACTCAGGTCGTCTATAAAGTACAAATCGTTCAACTGGATCCAACATGTCCATTACATTTCGTGATTCCCCTCAGATGTCGAGTTCTCCATAATCTAGTCAACTACCAGAAGAAAGAGGAAGGATGCGAGTAAGCAGTGTTGTCTGACAACAATCATCACTTGAAATGCATCTGTCTATCCACACTGTCAAAGCTTTCCCATATCCAAGAAGGTTGGTGTATAGTGAGGAATTCCATTCAATGGATTGTTCAAAAATTATGAGTAATATCGCGGTTTGGTTTATACACAATCGATCCTTACCGGTCGGTATCCAGTCTGTTGATTTCGAAGTTGGACGTCGACTCAATCTCTCATCCGGTTCAGCAACACTCTGTGGAAAACGTTTCCTGGTATTCATATCAGTGTGATTTCTCTGTAGTTTTCACATTTGCTAAGAACGTTTTCTGGTATCTTGGTTAGGTATTCTTCATTCCAGTCGGTAGGCACTTGCTCCTCCTCCCAAATCTCCCTCAATAGAACGTGGAGCGTGTTCGTAGTTGCTTCTGTGTCTGATTTCAGTACTTCAGCTTGTGTGTTGTCTGCTTCTCTTGTTTTATCACTCTTGATTTGTCCAATAGCCATCCTAATTTCTCCAACTGTTGTTGAGGTAACAATTGTAGGAAGGTCGTTGTGTGCTGATTCGATTTCTGGTGCATTTAACCAGTTACTGGAAGTGTTCTACCCATCTATTCCCCTTTCCTTGAACCTTTGGGATTGTCTTCACTTCTTTGTCCTTGACTGGTCTCTCAGGTTTACTGTATCTTTCTGCTTGTTTCTTCGTTGTATCATATAGTTGTTTCACATTTCCTTCTCTTGTTGCTTTCTCTGCCGTTTCTGCCAGGTTTTCCATGTGTTTATGCTTGTCGGCTTTAATGCTGTTCTTCACAATCTTGATTGCTTCTGTGTATTCGGCTTGTGTCTTGACTTTCTCTGTTCCTACCCGGCTGTTGTTAGTTGCTGTCTTCTTGTTCTTCCTTTCATGAATATAGTCCAGGGTTTCGATAGTGATCCGTTCCTTATAATCGATGATGCTTGCTGCGGCCCAGAGTCTCCTGAAATGTTGAAGTTAATGCTTTTTTGATCCCTTCCCAGTTGTCCTCCATAGTAGTTTCCTCTTCTTTTAGTAGACCTTATAAGTCTTGGAAGCTGTTGTTGAGAACTATCTTGAATTAGTTGAGTTTGTCAGTATTTCGAAGAAAGTCTATATCGAACTTTTGTAATGCTGTCTCCCCAGTAGTTGTCCAGTGTCTGTTTAGCTTCAGTTTCATCCTGGCAACCACCAGGTGTTGATCTGTTTGATCCTCCCGGTTTGTAGCATTTTCCGAAGATTGCATGTACCTATATTAACTGTTGCTCTGGTTGTTAGAAAGGGCATCGTCCTCGTGACTTGCGAAGAATCTCAGCGACCACCATGAGGCATCATAACTCATCTTAATGAAGGCACATCAACTCCCAGGGTATACTTTGGACGATTTTAAATATTTTTCATTGTTATTGCTTTTCCGAAATGTTGTTTTCTAGGGGATGTAATTGTTAATCACCTTCCTCCTTTATCCGAGCTTGGGACCAGCCGTAATCTTAGATCGGCTTCAGATGGAGTTTTATGCTAAACCTGACAAATGTAATCTCTTATCTTGTTACTTCGTTTTCACAGGGTCCCGAGGTCTCACCATCACGTTATTATCAGGAATCACCAGCAAGGTATATGACCCAATTGGAAAATAATTGGCCACAATCAAATCAAAACAACAATGACTGCAGAAATATGAGCATGGAGTTTCCGTCAAATGGATCGACTATACCACCACCAAATGATTTTCAAACTGCTGGTTCCCATATCCCTTACATACAAGTTAATAGTTCCACTCCTACTGTCAATAGACCATATTATCATATGACAGATGAAAATAAGAATATTATTAACCAAGATAGTCCTGGTGCAGATCATTTACAAGCAATGGACCAACGTTTAGGTATACCCAGAAACGTTTCAGATAATATGATAACACATCAAAATCACGGCAACTATTCTTCATATGGTTGTGTTTTATAACAATCTGTATCCTATTATGTTACTTCTCTACAAAATTGTACAGCAAGATATTTCTGTGTATGAACTTAACTTATACCTGCTATTTACTAGACACTTTTGAGGAGCTGTAAATCTATCCGCATTTAATCTCTCACAGAAACTGTACAAAGAAACTATGAAAAATATTTGATCAATAGTGACATTAAACAGAATCTCATGTTATGCATGTGGTTTGATTTTATATTTTTGAAAATGTATCATTTTCCTGATTGTTCCCCGTAAATTATGCTATCTACAAGTACTTTATGGAAAAAAACAAATCTTGAATCACCTTTGTATTCTGACATATTTTACCATTAAATTCGACTTCTTAAACTATGAAACAGTAACTGGTAAGAGTTTTACGATATTTCATATTATTTTTCTTATCTATTTAATCTCAACTTCTTGAAAAACTATTTTAAGTTCATACTTTTCAAAACATTACACTAACAGATAACGTGTCACCACATATATAAATATAAAAAATCATGGAATCCTTACTAGTTTATAAGTGTGATCAGATTAATACAAAAGAAGTAACGTTTAAAATCATAATGGTACTTTATCTAAGAGGAGGCAGAGAGAATGACAGAGATTTTTTCAATGAGAGGTATAAGATCTACTTAAAATTTATGAACAGCGGTGAGATCGTTTCAATGACTAGCAAACAGCATATGATAAACATAAACACACTAAGGGCATGGTATAATTATAACATGTGTGTTTCAGAGTGATAGACTTAATCCCTTCATAACAATAAGTAAGTTAAACATTTTATTCGTTAAATTTGGACTTAGTGTCTCTCAACACTTTCATCTTCAGTATTAACCAGTGGCAATTGTTACTGTTCAATGCTGCTTTGCGTTTGAAGAATACACAGCTTACCCTTTGAAGGAAACCGAGCTTAGCGAGGTTGAGTTGATGTATGCGATGTGATCTAACGAGGTTATTGTATCTTACTCATATACGGAATTGATATTTTGACTTTTGGTAGCTATTGGAAACTATCACAATTTTCTATAGAATCAGAGGATAGACCAGTTTTAAAGATTCATTATTTTCTACTTAGGAAGAATAAATTTAACACTGAAATAAACCTAAAATAAATTAAAGAGTTACTGATGTAGTTTTCGCATTTACTGTAAGACTAATAATGAGTCACTTTGCCTTAGTAGACCAACACAAAAATGAAACAATTTAAGCATTAATATATTTGCTTCTTGAGATATAGCTCACACCCTATGAGTACCAAATTTCCCAAAAGACTGAGATCAAGAATCATTGAGTTAATGTATCAATTTCCTGTTTCAGTCTAACCATTGTAAATTATAGTCTGCTTCATATCTGCTTCAACTAATCTGATGCTTATTGATTAGCCATAGATCAGTATTTCTATTCAGCTTATATAGTAAATTTAAACAACAACATAAATGAATCGAGAAGACAGTGAGCGAAATTTTTTTCGTTTTCAGTAAATGAAATCTGATGTATACAATAATTCTTATCGGTTAAAAGTGAAGCCACAAAACTGAACTTCATACATTATTTATGTAAGATACCGAAATTTCAACTGTGAACCGAAATTTATAGCTTTCTTACAAACAACATTTCCGTAGGTCTTCAGGAAGACGTTCCTGTAAGTCATTGATATGTAAAAGTGTTACTTCTTGTAAATTATTTCAAATAACACGATATAAAGAATAAAGTGAGTTTATTATGTTTCAAGGTTTTTCATAATCTCTAAACAGCTTTAAGTTACAACTAATCATATGACCAGCAACAAACGTCTCAAAGTAAACTGATCCAAATTGTCAATGAATCCAGGATTCATAAAACATTTAACGGAATTTTTCTAAGAAATAGGCTAATTAGCGTATTCAGCTTAGTCCTGTAGAGCATATAGACTGCTTTGATTAGGTCATACAACTTTGCGCAGTTATTCTAGCAACATGTGTATTCTGTTTTGATGTCAGTTTATTTGGCTTAATGACAAAATCACACTCTGTGAATAACGAACTTTTAAAAAATTTTGGCTAGCCTCTATGGTCCAACTTTCGTTTTATTAAGGTTTTGTATATTATTCATAAATTAGTTAATAAACTAATGACAAGTCCGATCATAAATGTTGTAAGCTTTTACTTGAAATTCTGATGAAGTGTAAGTCTATTCAGAGTTTCAGTATTATTTCCTGATAAACAAGAAACAACATATAATTCCAAACAAATTTCCTCTCATCTAATAATAACAAACAATAAGCAAATAATCATAACTAGAAACGGTTAGAAAAGCATACATATAGTATACACTTGTTTATTTTTCGTAAATAATGTCAAAAACAATTTAGTTAAGATTTTCAGTGACCAATATTTCCGAATAACATTAGGATCACTTCAATTTTTTTTTAATAATTTTTTTTGTCCCCCTTAATCAAAAAATTTTCATCCCATTTTCCAATTTTTTTCAATCCCTTTCGTCCAATGAAATTCCTAGTTGTAAATGCGTTGTAATTGGTTATGTAATTCTTGAAATTCGTATAAAAGCTCTGTACTTATGGATATAGATAATTTTCTTCACAATATGGACGTCAGCAACGTGCAAATTAGAGGCTCTGTTGTTCCTCACGTAGTCACAGAAACTGAAAATGTATTTTTGAATACATTGTATCTGTTAGCGTTTCCATCACTGGAAGCGTTAAAGAGCGCCATTAGAACTTATGAAATAGCAACGTACTGCCATTATGCGGTGAGAGATTCTCATTTCCATGGAGATCGGAAGCCGTATATTAAATTTGTATGTTGGAGAAAGAGCTATAAAACACCAAGCGTTTCTTCGCAGCCGATTAGACGAAGGAGGTAAATTGATTAGTGTTATTATATTGTTCATTGAGGACTTCAATGGACACACAATGTCCGGCCTTCATCCTTTGTAAGTTTCTTGAAGGTTATTGGACTTGTTCGTGGGAATGTGCATCACAATCACGAGTGCAATTCCCTGAGGTACGACTGCAACACATGGATGCGCCGATTAACGGGAGCGGAATTTGAATCAGTGAAGCCACTGCTGATATCTGGAACATCAGCATTCAATGTGATACACTACGCTTACCAATCATATGGGAAACGTCTTACAGCTCAAGATGTTTTCAATATGCGTTACAAAGTGTTCTCACAGGCCAACCTTCCTGGTAAGCAATGTGCATATTTATACTATTAACTGTAGGTGATTACGGTAAGTTCACATCACGTCACTTGGTGGCCTTTGTGATTATCAATTGGATGCAGATCATAGTCTGTTGTACTTCTTTTTCGCTACAGCAGACCAGATCAATCTGTGTAACAGGTTTTTAGATGTTGTTGGTTTTGATGGGACATACAAAACCAATAATGAAAACATGTTTCTTTATCACGTGGTGGCTCTGGACATGAATTTCATGGCAATACCTGTTTGTATTGCATTTGTAAGTCGCGAAACATCGACTTTGCTGTCCAGTTTCCTCTCGTTCTTCCGCCAAATGAGTAACAATAGAGAGGTTATCGGTATTGTTACTGACGATTCACCTGCTATAGCTGCTGCCATAACGCAGGTGTATCCCAATTCACACCACCTTTTGTGCCGCGTGCACCTTCTTCGAAATGTCATCAAGAGGGTAAGCTTTCCTTTCTTTACAAATAACCCATTCATCGTATTCGTAGAGGCTACGATCTGATCTTCTTCAAATGTTCTACCGTCTTATGCTAACAAGAAATGTGGAAAGGTAAATCGAAATATGCTTTACAATGTATTGTAGCTTCCAACGGTATGTGTCATTTATCGAAGCAGTAGACGGGAATTTCTATCAATGTTTGAGAGATCAGTTATTGTCCAAAAAGCACAAGTGGTCGAACGCTTTTAGACCAGCTGCAATGCTTCTAGATCAAAGCAATACAAATTTCGTTGAGACGACCCATCGAATTTTAAAGTTGCATAAGCTGAACAGAAAAACACCCGTGTTCAGATCGATATTTAGTGTTCTGCTTCGCACTGGATATTGGATAGAAGCTCGAGTTCAAAAGTACTCCATTGAATGCCGTAGCAGGGCTGTGCTGGGTCGCGAGCCTCAACTACGTCGTCTTCAGGAAACACTTACACCTGCTGCATGTAAACTGCTTAAGCGGCACATGCGCATTCCTGTTACTGACTACGTATTGTCGGGGGAGTTTTTCACGGCCGTTGATACTACAGGAACTTACACAGTCTCCAAAAATCTTATTAGTTGTTCCTGTTTCTTTTATGTAGAACACAGAGTCGTATGTCGTTACATCTTGGCATATTGTTCGCACGATAATGTCGAAGTTCACAGAGAAAGCATTGGTGACAGATGGCTGCATTCCAACAGCTTCGTAACCGCAGTAACGATTGACAATGAATTACAGGTACAAGTCGGGCAGACAAGCGTCCTAACATCGATTCACAACTTATATCGGCGTATGTCCGCTGAACAGCGTACCGCTGTCCTTAACTATTCTCATCAGTTGCTTAACGATGGAATACCTACTACCATCACAATGCCCGTCGTCCGAAATACCACAGGCACCAACCGTCAACAGAACGTAGATTTGGATGCTACCTTAAATGATGACGAGATGGAAGTAATATCTATGAACTCAGAAGAGTTCACGGACCGAGACAATGAAGAAGACGAACGTGCGCACAATGACCGACTGTGTGATATTTGCCATCTATGTCAGCCGCCCAGTGAACTAGCTGATGGAAGTGCTTGGATTTTTTGTCCATGCAACGCTATGTTTCATTCGTTCTGTGCCTACGACCCAACAGAAGTATCACCTGGGTTCAACTGTCCCATGTGCGGCGCTGTCACGGACTCATAGTGGAGTCATCGATCAGGACCGAAGGAGCTGTGTAGAGACCGAGTAAAGGCCCTTTTCAGGGCCACCCACAATTTGATTTAAATTTTGTTTGAATTTCTTGTTTCCATTTTAAGGAGGAGTCATGAAACCATCAATAATTCATTTCACATTCATATGATTTGGTCACTAGTTACAGTAGAGAAATGTAGTAAGATCAGTTCACTAGTACAACAAGATCATTTCTATTGCTAAGGTCAAGTGAACAGACACTGATCGGTCATAGCAATTCCATAGTAATAAAGCTGTAGATTAATAATTATCATCGCTCACTTTATTACCATGCCAACAGCTTTCCATGTTTTTCAAATTTAAGGTTTCAGTGAACGATTCCGTACAGAAAACAACGTCATATAATGAACATTAATCTGTCGAACAAAAGTTTATGCAAAGGTGTGTACGATCATTCCAATCTCTTTTCACTTAGCTAAGGTAGACGATTGTACTGAGATCAGTTCATTAGTACAACAAGATAATTTGTATTAAGAAGGTCAAGTGAACATACACTGATCATTCATCACAATTCCATAGTAATGAAGATGTAAAATAACTTTTTCTAGATTAATAATAATAAAGTGATTATCGATCACTTTATAATTTTGTCAACAGCTTTTAAGGTTTTTCAAATTTAAGGTTTCAGTAAACGATTCCGTACAGAAAACAACGTCGTATAATGAAGACTTACATATCTAACAAGTCATTAATAATAATAATAATGGAACATACGAAATGTAATAAGAATGTTTCATATGAGATTTATCACTGCATTGCAAAAATTCGATGCAGTGATAAATGTCATTTAGACATTTGATGAATAAATGTACAGTTTAACTTAACAGATTGAAATACGATATTCTAAATACATAATGGTTACTTGATACAATTGACCTTATTCCACATTAAGTCATATCATTGAAATAGAAATTTATTTCGTTAGACATAGGCTTGTTCATTGACACTTCATTCAACCTATATTACACATATGCTTGTCAAAAAGGTTACTTTTTTCAACATTCAGCGATTTACTGTTTGACAGTTTAAGAGGAGTAATTATTATCCCTTTGTGACGGAAAATGTAAATACAGTTTTTCATTGTTCATCCAGTATGTTTAACAAAGGGAACTGTTGGATTTGGAAATATAATTTCAGTCTGTCTAATTAATTAACGTTTACAATGTTATTTACCAATGAAAATAAAAAATTCAGATCATTAATTTGAAAGGCTGTGCACTTAAAAAACATTGGCTGTTAACATTAGCTGCCAAAAAATATTATGCCCACCTCACAAATACAATTACCGTATTACATGACTGAGTACACTAACATGTCTTTTCGGTGATCATTAATAAGTGATCAACTACAAATAATCTACAGGTCAGCATATTTTATGCTTTGAATGGATTTACAAAAAATCTTGATAACCTTGATATTGCGTTCATTTTCGAAACCTTTTCATAGCTAAACTAATCAACTTTTTGGTATTAAGAATAACGGTTTGCAAAATAACTGAATTATAAAGATTATTTGCTTTTTTATTACTAATTTCAGACGGCGTAAAAGTTGCTTCATTTACCCATCTTTTACGGTTAGCGTGACTTCAGCATGACCCATTCACTTTCTCTTCATCATGATTTATTCATATATTTACATGAATATAACGTTTATTAAATGAGCGAACTATGTGTTAAATTAACTTATGGGAATACTTAAACCAAAATGTGTTCACTAATTGTGTATTAAACATTTGACTACCTTTTTTGAAATTCAATAATCACCATTATCAATTATTAATAACAACTGTAAGTTTTTTCAAAAATTAACTTTCAATGATCCACAGATTATTATTACTACTCTTGCCACGACGATAACAGATAACTTTAGTTGCATTTGTACTTCATAAAAAGAAATTACATTCACTAACAGGAGTATAGCAGGGTAATGAAATGGATTTGTTTTTGTTTTTTTCGAAGTTAAAATTTTTTACAAATCTCAGATGGAACAATGCAAAAATAGTTCATTATTGTAAATAATAATCGAATGCAAAAATGTCAATTCTTACATCCAATAAAAGCACTTTATTCTAGTTCGATTTGAACGAATCAAATTGCAAAACTGCACCATTTACAGCCAATTAAAAAATTATTACAGGTGACAAAATGTTTGTTCATTTGCACTTGAGCACACACTTTCAAAAACAAATTCACCAATCACCAATTGCTAAATTTTTTTCATATCCTTTAATTTCCAAAAAAAGGGGGGTAGGGGATTATACGTGCAGTGATTCTAATGTCAACCAATATTTCCCATCTAAATCTAATTACGTCATTAACAAAGGTATTCAGTTAAGAAATGCATTAATTAATGAAAGTCAAAGGAATTTTATTGTTGTCAGTGTTGTGACATTTGCTCCTGTCAACTATCAAGTGGCTAAATCGCCAATCAAATCACCAACTTATATGACCTTATTCTTGCGCTAAACCGATTACACGGCAATCAGCACTAACAGCCTTGCGACAACCCTGAGTCCTTATTGGTCCTTCTCGCCTAGCCCCGCCCGTCAAGTTCAGAATGCAATCTAGGCCTCCACTATATGAGTAGTATAGTTCAGATATATGCCGTTTATATACAGGTAAACCAGCCAGAATCACTCCATAAAATAGAAAATAATAATTGTACAAGATCATTCCAAAAGTGACTGCGGGTGTGAAAGACTGTAACTAACAACTGGTAATAAGTTAAGAATGGCAACTTTTATAACAGTATATGTAATGGTAGTTCATAAATAATTCCTAGCAGTTACCATTCATTTATTCTTCGTCCGGATGTAAACGTTAAACAATAATTATTTGAGTAAATGTTTGCTCGCATATTGAAAACCTTCATATGAATGATGATTAACACTTTAGCTGGACCTAAGAGACACTATTACGTTTTGAATGTTGTGACGTGCGGTGTCCGAAATCTGTGGCTGATACACGGTATGCTACTTGCTAACCCCCCAACTGACTACTTGAACGAGAACACAAAAGTGAGAAAGTTTATTGGACCACCGAAAAGAAATGCACAAATATTCACTAATAAATACCACTCTATCCCTAGGAAATTGACCCCAATGAAATGTAGTTGACCTTTAGGTCACTCCTGATTGCCATTGATTGACCTTTTCATTGTCTTCTTCTGATAAACTCTCCATATCACTGACACTGGGACACGACTTTTTAAATCCACTAGTATCCCATATAAAATTACAATTTGATCATGATTCATCATTTATCTGTTGTTTATGAAAAATTAGAGAATGCGGAATCTTGTACTGTTCTGTCATTGGTGAAATCTGTGAGACCTTATTTCAGGGGCCGACCAATCATATATAAGATAAAAGGTCTTAGATTTCGGCGCAAAATTCATTCGTCCACTTGGCTGAACAGCAGTTTGGCTGGTGTCAGTTCATGATGAGAACCTTAAGTCTAATTCCTAACCCTGACCACCAACTGTAAATCATAATTCTAATTCGTCACACTGGTTTATAATCCTCATTTAGTCCAAGTTTGTAGGTGGACATTCTCGAGGTCACTCTACCATCTCTCAAAGGTCATCCATTTTTTATAGTACCACCAGAAAACCATTTTCTTGGTCCTTTTGCTGTGCAGTGAAGAAACATATACAGATATGTCAAACTCCAGTTGGGTCTGTCTGACAAACAGTAAATAGAAAGGTATTAATAAGGAATCTCGTCAGTTTATCCATTTAAGTAAATTGAGCTAATATGACGTATGATTACGTTTTCTAGAAAATTACCTTGAAAATGTATGCTTGTTTATGTGTTGGATGATAGAAAGTGGTTGCTTTGTTTCCTTCTTACAGATTGGTCTTCATGGCTAAATACAGTGCCTTAGTTTTCACTTCTTTATTCCACGTCTCATATCAGGCCATCTAAAACTTCGCATAACTGTGAGAGTAATACAACAGTACAGTTGTCTTCTTAGTTTCTATGAGACAAACCTTGGATTTCATGTCTTAGTCATCTGTCAATTCCTTTATGTATACACTAAAATAACGGTTTTCCAAATTCGTCATTTCAAACGTTCTTGTACGTCTATGACCTAGGCTGTCATGGACACTCTGACAAGATTCATGCTACAGTGAAACGCATAATCAACTCTTTTTATCCAAGACTGTCTCATGTTCCGGCCAAACATTTGTAAGTGTTGATTAGATTTACGACTTCTTACTTTGTTAGTTGAGCTTTACAAACTTCTTGTTTACGAACTGTCACAACTGAATACGAGATCAGAAAAGACTGCGAACGTCAAATATATGGATGTTTATTATAACAGTTAACGACAAGCAAACAAAATCAAGAAATTAAGTCAAGGGAACAGACGACTGACGAAAGTGTGTATAATATTCTCAAGCAATGATGGTGCACATAAAAACAATTGTATGCGTACAATTTTTAAAATTTCGACAGTACACTCGTCAATAAACAACAATTCTACTATATTTGCACATTGAAAAATACATCTTAAGTTAGGGCTAAGTCTGTCAATTATTAGTTTCAATATCACACATTCAATTCATATACTATATTTCCCCTAGCTTCCTAGCTTTGCCTTGAAGTTATACTATTATAGCAACTCAGATACAATTGAGTTTGTTTACATCTAATTCAGCTAAGCCCTTTTGTTAACTTATTTAATGGACAGTCATTCATACAATAACAACCCATCTATACCATTGTACTTTTATTATATACGCTTGAACATTGCTTACTGCCTACGCATATATTCATTCCGCTAGCATTATTATTAATCGCTTATTTGATCCGATGATTCATGCTTTTCCACTTATATATATATGTACATCTTAATCCTTTTTACTGCACTTGCCCTGCTTGCTCTCTGCTCTTCACTACGCTACACCATACTGTACATGCTTACTCATTCATTCAGCTCAACGGCACCGCTCTTTCATGCTTGCTTGACGTACCTGCAATATTGGATAACTGTGTGTGGTTCAGTAATCAACGTGATCAACCCTTCGTATTCGTCTTCTGATTTATGCATCGTTAGGACATCGTCGAGTAACGGTTATCAACAATATACGAAGCCTAGGGGTAATATCAAAAATCGACCACCACACTATCTATCGCCTACCCACTTCGGCCAGCCCTAACCCAGATTCGGACCTTCCTGTCGCCTTTCTACAGCCTAGCTAATATCTTACCTAATCGAGTTATATTTAAATAAGAACAGAGAGGAAGTATAATCGACAATACACGACCAGTCTCTTTCACTTCCGATCTCAATCAAAGTGGTAATAAACCAGTACTAATCACTAATGACTTTGACGGGATGTGGCGTATAATTCATCGTCCAGCCATCAGATTTGATTCAGAATGGTACATACTTGGATAGCATTAGGTCTCGTTTAAACAACCTTAATTCCACTGAAGCTAGTAATTGTAAGTTTAGAATTTTCGTATAAGGGAACAATACTGAAGCAACTTGTCAAAAATGGTACATTAGTATGGTAGGGGTGAAAAAAGTAACTGAACAATATGTACTTCGTTTGTAAGCAAAAAGCTTGAGGGGAATGAACTCCAGGTTTCTTCTACTTCAGCTGGATAATCCCATTAGT